GACGGCATGATGTCAAGCCGTACCCGGAACGAAATGGACCAATCCGTGGAGCCGTTACGTTACGTCCGTGGAGCCGTTACGTTAAGCCCCCGCTGATTGGTCCAAATTGACCAATCCACGGACTTCCTCACACACACATCTGTGTGCAGGGAGCAGGCAGCTCAGCTGATTTCTCCTCCCTGGCTGCAGGCTGATAACAGACAGTTGGGATCGCGGCGAAATTCTCTCTGCAGACCCATTCTCACAGCGTTTATCAACCTTTTTCTTACTCAATATCAAGCCACACTTATTGTTTTTACTTCGGATGTGAGTTTGTGTGTGCTCAGGATGAGTTTGGCTGTGTTTCGCTATGCATCCTAAACAAGGAAACAACACCTCCACGGAGCTCAGCGCGATTCACAACGTCCCGACCAATCAGAGCACACTGTGCTCACAGGGAGGGTGGGCTGGAGCTTTGGGAGCTACAACGAGCCGTTAAAGGCAGAGAGTGAAATTCAGTGAAAAAGTAGTTTACAGAGATGCTGTATGAGAAACCAATGTGAGTTTGGAAAAATGCACAGTATAAATTTATTTTAGTAGACCTCAACAATGGAATTATGATCAGTGGAAATGGCCATGACACTTCTCCTTTAAAGACTGTTATTATTACCTTAATGTGAGAATGTTATTTTGTATTATTGTTGATTTTCTTACAGTTTAGTTACTCTATGAAGGTAGGAAGGGATGTAGAGTTGGGTAATTGAGAGAATATATCTGCAATTGTTATATTTGGTGATTTTTGCCATTATTTTGGCTAATTTAGAGTGTGTAGATCCGGCACATTTTTACATCTAACTTGATAAATAAAGAGTTTATTCTGACCAACCCAGTGTCGATTGTAGGAAAAGTCTGAAGACCTTACAAAATATGTGTTTGTTAAGGTTTATTTCATTTCTATGATTGAGGGGATGCCATTGCCGGAAGATTTAGGAAAATATTAAAATATTGCACATCCTTAGAGGGAAATCACTACTCACTCTAACTCTTGTGATGTACTTTTTTGTACAAATGTGAACACTATATTCGTAAAGACTGGATCGGTGAAGAATCAGACTGAAGCAACACTTTTACACTGCCAGCATCAGGGGTTCACTTTCCTCTGGGAGCAGTCAGGTACCAAAAAAAGATGTTAGCACTCGGGTTGGATGTGAGTGCCCATCAGGCAGCACCAGTGTTTGAATAAAAGCTGTCAGCAGCACACACACTCCAGGGAGGTACGCTCTCTCAGGGGAGGAAGAACTTTCTAGGACATCAGGCCTCAGTGCAGAGCTGACTATTACAAGGTTAAGTTTCTTTAAAGAAGTTAAAATGGGGTCGGTGTTGTAGAGCAAGCCTTCAGAAACGTATTTTCTTCTTTTACTTTGATGTATCAATTAAAAGCAATAACTGAGATCCCACAGCAGGTTAGAGAAGTATGGTGTTATCCCAAAACCTTTTCTAACCTTGTTTTTCTCCAGAATCAAAACATAATGTCCCACTTGTTTTGCTGTTAACAGGTTAACTCTGCAGAACTCTCTACTGGGCTGAAGCATGAACAGTTGGCCTGACATTAAAGCGATTTTTATTTTATTTTGTTAAATTATATATTAGATTACCATTAAGACTCCAAGGCACACACTCGTTGATTCAAGTTTCACTCTCATATTCACCTTTGCTGAACCGCGGCTGAACCCGTGATACATAAACATCATAAAGTATTCAGACATCAGAAAACTAACTTTTTCACTTTTGAAGAAGCAAAGATCGAGTTTGTTGAGAGAGTCGTGCAGGGTTGATGGTTTATAAAGTCGGACTATAAAAATAGCCACATCAGCAGAAGTATTTCCATGACAAATGTGTCCCAGAGTGCAGTGTTAAAAAGTTGCACTTTATGGTAGCTCTTTAAGCTTCTTTCCATCCAGAAGTGTGGACATATGCAGCCAAGACATTTAGCATTCAGGTCACTATTACTTCAAAGAGTGCTTGCTTTGGTGGCAGACAGTCTTTTAATTAAAAACATGACAGTTTGAGTGAAAAAAAAGAAGCTCAATAATAAATTTTCATTGCATTTCCAAAAATATTTGGGGGAAATTTCACATTCTCACAGGATTGTTCATGCCTGGAAGAAAACATTTACATTTGCACATCTTTGAGAAAACATTCAATTTGTAAAAGTAAACGTTTCCATAAATATTGGGACTCGGAAAGTTGGCTCGATTTGAAACTCAGTTTAGACAACGATGACTCAACATTATGAGCCAAAGGTGGGAAGCTGCTGGACAGCTGGACGTGAATATGCGAGGGTATTTCAGTGTGGTAAACAAGGATTTTTAATGCATCTGTTTTGCAGAATGCTTATGGCGGTATCGTTGCTGGTGCTGCAGATAACGGGATGGTGCCACCTTCATCTGTCCCCACAGGGAACATGACACAGAGAGAAAAAGCACCGGGAGCGAGAAAGAGTGAGATTAAGACACGGAGGAAAAGTCGCAGTGAGGAAGAGCAAACAATTTCCACGTTAATTAGCATCCCTCTCCTCCCCCGCAACACAAACAATGCGGCGCCCAAAGAACCAGAAGCAAACAGGGACAAGGCTGCGAGCTCGCTAACTTTAGGTCTCCTACATCTGTGCTAAATCTGTGGCAGGCAACACACACATCAAAACAAAAGAAAAGGAGAAAGACTGAGCTGTGGGATTAAGAGTAAGTCAGAGGGAGTGGTGGGAGGAAGGAAGGAGGGAAGGAGGGAAGAGAGGGCGATGAAACAGGGGAGATTGACAGACACAGGGAAGCAAGGGACAGAAGAGAGGAGGCAGAGGGAGAACGAGAGGACGACAAACAGAACAGAAGGAGGAGATGGAGAGCTAGAGATGAGAAAGATAGGAGAGTATGAGGGGGGGACAGGGGAGAGGCAAAAGAGGAGAGTAAGTGACGAGTAAATTAGGAGTGAAGGAGGGACAGAAAAACAGAGGCAGTAGAGATGGCAGTGAAAGGGAAAGGTAAACCATAAGGGGAGATACTTGGGTACAAAAAGGAGGGGTTGTTCTATTTAGGATCACTGCTCTGAATGCTGACATGCAAACATTTAAAAGCTGACGCATGTGTATACAGTAAACATACCAGCTTCATGAGCGAGTAACTGCAGGGTCTGCATTTGTATGCAAAGGCCGCGAGGGGAATAACAGCACTTGTAGTCCTAGAGCTTTAGCAGCTGAACACCATGCAAAAATAAACCTCAGTGCAGAGGGAGATGTATTCAGTTGATGCCGAAACATACTGTTATTGAACAACACTGTATTGGGATGGGCGCGGAAAAAAACAATGAACAGAGAATCTTTCAAATCGGCCCCATCAAATATCGCCCCCTCTACATGGTGGCTGGATCAATAAACGCAGTATGACTTGGAACAGCCAGTTATTTTTTTTCAGTACATTGTGGAGACGACACAAAGCACGAAAACGTCCTCCATTTCTCCTCTGGGTGCTAGGCACACACGTGGGAGAAAAATATACACACATGCAGTCAAGCATGCGTGGAACACACTTGTGTACCCACTTTTTGGTCGCTCTCATTTTAAAAAGTCGATAACACATTACAGCAGTTCCAGAGGTTCAGGGATTCATCACGGCTCAACACATGCACCTTCAGCAGATGCAGAGTCTCCATCTTTACAAAGCAGCATGTTGCTCTGACAAGGATCCTTGAGAAATGCATTTAAAGATGCCAATGTATGTTCTGTAAGGGTGAACCATGAGGAAATGCGGGCAAAGCAATGCACAAAAACAAAGTATATTTTTATATATTTCCATCCTATTCAACACATGGAATCATCCGAGTCTCTGTTGAAAAGTCAGATACAGATTATACTTAATGAGATACTTTCATACACAGAGTGCCTTTCAGCTCATTTAGGATTAGGATATCGATAAAAACGATATGCGATATCGATTGCAGGAGACTAACCATCACCTCCTGAGGCGGTGCTGAATGTAGGCAATGCCGTGGACTCAACTACTCACTTGATTTCAGTTGGACCTAGCCGGTCCAAAGTATTTTAGCTTTACCAAAAGAAGGGTGTATTCGCTCACATAAAATGGAAGAGAAAAGGAGAAAAATATCCGCCAATGTACATTTTGTATATGTGTGACTGTCCCACTTTACCCTCATGGCAGTGTGTCTTAAAGGGGCCCTTTTATGTTTTTGGGGTATTACTTTAGTGTGTTAAATAGGATTTTGTGCATGTAAATGGTCTGCAAAGGCTAAAATCCCTCTCCCACAAACTCCGCCTGGCCGCAACAGAGTCAGCCAGCTAACCAATCAGAGCAGACTGGGCTCTGGTTTCAGACAGAGGGTGAAAAGACAGGCAGTATGAGAACAATAAATACCTTTTTGAACATTAAAGCATGTCAACATATCACATTAGAGGCGCAAAATATAAATATGAACCTGGAAATTAGCATAATAGGACCCCTTTAAATTATTGTGAAAGTTAGAAAAGTAATATTCAGGGACTTAAAATATATATATATGCAACATGATTATCCCGTAAAAGGATACTCTACTCTATGATTTAGCACCACAAGGTTGGATATGACACGACATCCACATTTCAGAGCAGTTCCATTTGGACCTCTGTGTTTCCTGTTTGTGCCCTTTTGTAAGAGTCAGTACTCGTATGTGAAAACTGTGAACAACACAAGACAACAAGAGCTGCATGTGTGTGCACTCTCCTGTTCCAACCAGTGAGCTGCAGTGCTCCTTCACAGTAATGGCTGGTGCACCACAGAGCAACCTTGGTGCTTCATCAGCATGGTTCACACACACTGCATCACACACACACACACACACACACACACACACACACACACACACACACACACACACACACATAAACATTGAAGGCAACTGCTGCCACTTGAAGTGCAACACATATGCGGTTCAGAGTGAGTGAATTGACAGAGGGGCGGAGGAGAGCTGCTCACCTGAAGAACGTGACGAAGAACTGCACCAGATCCATGAAGTTACTGTGCTGCGAGAAGGCGATCTATACAAAGGGGAAAAGAGGACAACGTGCAGAGTCAGAAATATGTTTTATAATGGAGATTTCAAAAGAAGAGGTCAGCAATATATATTCATCAACATGCAGACTTTAGACTGACCTTGTAGGGCTGACAAAAGGAAGGCAAATGAGGGGGTGGGGGATCATGCTGTCTCTTCTAACACAGGCAGACAGTGCATATGTATGTAGTGTATACTTTGAATAATACATGTACATGTGTTATTGTGCACAAGTTAAATGAAGCATACTATTTTTTTTTAAATAAACAAGCTCTATTTATCTATGCTGATGCTTCTTATGCATTGCGGCACCTTATTTTGTAAACCCTACTCCCATTCTTCCTTGATTGACTTGCGAAGAAGACATGGCAGACCTTTCGCAAAGCTAGTTCTTGGAGTTTAGGTACAAATCAAAACACCCTTTGGAATCAAAGTGTTTTCATTGTGAATTAGAACATGGTCAGCGAGACATGCAGCACTCCAATCGCTGGCTAAATCGGGGCCATAAAGTGAGTATCACTAGTGTAAATGATAACGGATTTAAAAGGGATTATTCTTCCCGATGGTAACACAACCACTGGGATGTTTCCAGTCTGTCTGCTTATCTAGTATCCACACTGCACACCTGTCACAGCGACATCACGACAGCTGCCCACAGCCTGCACCAAAAACCCTCATTCCTGCACTGTGGGCAGAAATATTCACTATGTAATCATCACAAGAGCATTTGTACTAACGATATCCTGTCTTAATCAAGGTTGCCAGGGGTAACATTGGCAGTGCTTTACCACCTCTTCCTCCACCTCCTCCTCCTCCTCTCTTCACATATGCCTACCACCCCCTCAAAATGCCTCACAATGAGCAGATTCATACAACACAACACTGCCTCTCTCTGGTAACATCGTGGCTCTGCAGCAGAATTCGCCTCACATGTCTTTTCTCCGAGGTGACACCTTGGACAAATCACAGCTCCTGCTTATTATTCGTGGCAAAGCGGGGATTTGCATACAATTCCAGTGGAAAAGAAGAAGCAGGAGGGGAAGAAAAAAGAGACGCAAGCCGGGAAACCCAGCTGTGTGCATGTCAGATTAGCCTATGAATACTTAATATGTGATCAAAAAGTACAATACATGCATAGAAATTGCTTGATGGGTCGGAGTGTGTATAAATCCACAGTGACTTTGCAGAATAGCAGCACAGGGCCAGAAGCATTGGTCTCCGTGGTGAGATGACAGGGGGTGTGAGTGTTTTGTGAAGGGCCCGGGGTCTAATTTACTTGTGTAGTCAGCACCATCTGGCTGCTAATGTGTTGCTGTTGATTACTGTTGAGCGCAGAATCCTCAGTGTGATCATTTCATGCAGACTGTTGAACACTGAAGGGAAGTTCAGGTAGCCAAAACACCAGGAGAAAACTTGAACAAAGATATGTCAGCAGAGTGGGTCTCAGTGGGTCGCCATCTGCTGTGGTCTGGTGTTTAGTTCAATGGGTATCAGAGTGCCCACAAAGGGCACTAATGTTGCTGAGATCAGGTGTTGGTCAATCAGGGCCCAACATGCCAACAATGACTGTGAGCTTTTAGCCAAGCAGTGCATGTGTGTTTATTTAGCTGATAAGTTGTTAATTCTAATAACTAATAACTGTCTGTAGACAAGATGCTCTCTCTTTTAAGGATGTCGATGTTATGGGATATTTTTGGAAATGTGAGTCATTAGGGTTATTGTTTCCGATTAGTCTTATTATTATATGTTATTGTTTAAACTGCTCTTGGGTTTTTTACAGTTGCCATTTATATAATTCTCAGGAGGACATTTCTAGTTTTAGATACGTTATGTTTGACTTAATAATCCCATTTCTGTTTAATTCTGATTTAATCACATACTTAGACTTGTTTGACCCATTTCGTTTGACTGTCATTTTACACAAAACTTCTCACACATATTTTGGAAATTACAATCCAAAATACTCCAAAGAAGCAGAACAGCATTCCCTGTGTACACAAATTACTACAAAGATTTTTTTTTTCAATGATTCTGAATTTCTAAGAAGCCAATAAGGCGTTTGCAATTAATAGGAAATGGTTTGAAAAATGTGACTTCCTGTGCTTATGAATGTAAATGGGAGGTTAAAAGTAAATGGATTAAGGATTGAATGTAGTTTGAAACTGTGAGTGTGACAGATTCTCCTCTCTTTTCAAGGACAACACTAACTTAAACTCGAAAAAGTCAATGATTTGAGCTCCATGTCAATACTGCATTTTTCTGAAAGGTACAAGCATGCTGTCTCGCTGAGATGACATAACAGTTATTGTAGCGGCTAATCTCAAGTGTCAGCCTGTGTGGAGCTTTGTCACCGGGAGGCGGGCTGACGCTCTCGTTACGGGCCCAGCGGAGGGCCACTCTTTAGGGGCCCCCAAAGGATCTCGCAGCAGGGCCTGTCAGCCTGCCGCCGGGCACTGAGGCCGGTAAATATTCTGGCTCTAATGGCTTCTGACAGACGCTTGAACTCTATTGGAGGTTTGAAGGAAAGCGTCATTATCAGTCCGGGGGAGGGCGGCTCAACAGGTTCCACAGAAGAGGGAAGGGCAGACGGAAACTGAATGTTAAATATGGCGGAGCTGGAATTTGTGTGAGTGATACATTTATACTTGTGTTATGTGCAGCTTCAAAGTACTGCATTATAGAATAATTATATCTAAAATATTTCGTATGGTTGTTTTTTTAATCTATTTTTTATATTTTGTAAATTCTTTAAATGTTGTTCAACCATATATATCTACAGTGAGTTGCACATTGCAATATCTTCCAGGAGTTATGTCTGTAAAACACAGTAAAAGAAAAATGTGTTAATTTTTCATTTTATTTAATTCTAACTTTTATTTTTCCAATTATCTTACTATTTATAAAATTATTTATTTATTCGTCATAGTTTATATTATCTAATGATATGCATTTTGTTATTTTTTTTATATTATTTGTCTGCATAAATACACTGCTAAAATATGAATTAGCCGGCTGTTTTTACGGTGTTGCACGCCGGCGAAGTTTCTCAGCTAGTTTCCATCCTCTCTGTGATCAGTATCAAAACGCAGCCATCAGCAGCCATGCATGGCCCAGATAAACACTCCACAATCCACACAGAGAGCTGATAGCTGCAGCTGCTGCTCCACAGCGGGGTTTTAAATTGGAGGCTTTTCTAATCTCTACTATATCATGACATGTTCACTAAGGCAGGGAGCAGGAGATCACAGCTCTTTAATGTAATTAGTCTGGGATTTGCGTTTCATTACAAACATCATTAAATTCAGATCCATTCTTCACCAGGAGAAGGAAAAAAAGAGGGGTGGGAGAACACCTCGCTGACTTAGCTCAGAGCAACTGATTTTACTTTGATGATGAAGTCATCAGAAAATTCACTTTAACCATTGTTATTGATCTCAATTTGGTGGGTCAAACGTATTAAATCATATAAGTGTCGTCCCTGCAATCCAACAGCTGTTTAGTTTATCCTATCTAATACACATGAGGTAGTAAATAGTTTTATCTTCCAACAGATTTTCAGTTGTGTGGGTAAATCAATGTGTGCTGTTTATTAAATGCAACAGATTGAGTGGTGAAAGCAACAAGTGGAGCCAATGCAAAAGGACACAAACAAGCCCTCTTGCAAATGGTGAGCAGGCTGTGCTAACACTGCTCCTGCCATGTGAAAGCACACAGAGACAACCTTGAGGTGGTGAGTCTGAGGGAGAAAGAGACAGCTCTGTACAGCTGCACAGTAAAGCCAGGGAGCGAGGGCTTAGTTTGCACACAGCCCACTCTGAATGCAGCATGTGTTTCAACTTAACATTCCACTTTGCCCTTGCTCTTTCTCGGCTGCTGTTTATGAACCGTTTCCCAACACTCCGATCAAACACTGGAGTGCCGAACGCCTACGATTACGCACCCACACATCCCAATGCCAAACTGCAAAAGACCACTGAAGGCAAGGAGAACAAGAAAAAGGCAACAAAAGAGAAAAATGAAGAGGCTGTTATCAAGTTCGAAAAATAATTCTGAGACGAGGAGCAGAGGCAGAAAAGGAACGATAAACAAGCGGAAAATGTTACCTCGCTGACGAAGGTAAAGCTCCATGAGTACAATGAGGAAATGACACGCTAGCAGACCTACGTGCTTGAGTTTCAGGGATCCTCTATATGATCCCACCCAGCAAGGCAAAGGGTGAGGAGGACCAGAGGAGGCTGAGAGGGGAGAGGACTCCCTGAACTCAGCTCTGTGTTCTGCTGGAGATCTCCTGAGGCTGGCTGCCAGCAGCTGGAGCTCTGAAGCTGAGAGAAAATAAAAGCCCTCACAAGGCAGGACATGGAGGATGGAGGCAGGCTGTTTCTCCCCTGCAGGAGGAGGGCAGGGGGAAGGAGTTTGCTCGGGGCAACCAGTCAAATCACTTCCAGGAGTGATCGGGGAGGCACACAATCCAGGCCCAAAACACCCCGTGCACTCACTCACTGCTTCAAATCTAATATTGATGCTGAAGTTATTCATCCTTTATCAAGCTGAAAACATACTCAAGAACTAACTACTCAGACATATCCTGAAAAATTCATATGTAGGCATGCGAGTACAAAGCTATAATGGTTGATTTATATTCTACTCCACATTTAAAGCACTGGTAGTAGAGTAGGGCAGTTTTGTGATCAGAGTTAGAATTGATCAAATATCAACAAATCCAATTCACAATGTTTCAGTAAGATATACTTGCAGTGCATTTTCCAAATATGTTGACGGTAGGATACCAAGTGACCTGTCTTTGATCCAATATAAGAGTCCATCATTCTCTATATCAGGGGTTTGTTTGTTTTTGCCTGTCCTTGTTTGTCTACACTCCCTCATAATGTAAAGCGTCTTTGGGTTCAAGAAAAGCGCTATAGAAATAGAATTTATTATTATATTATTATTATAGGACACTACAGGGTGCATTATTATGCCAATACCATTGCAATAAACCACAGGTAAAAAACAGTTAACTGTATTTCAAACTGCATAAATGTAAGCACTTGAAATTCCCAGTTCTCCAGTTCTGCACACAGCACTAGAAAGTGCAAATAACAAATTCATAAAGCATTAATACAAATGTTGCTGTCCAACTTATGAACTTCATTTACTCCCTTAACCAAAGCCCATTGGTTTACATAATACATTGGTGTGTAACTCTCTTATGCAACAGTTGAAATAAATGCTTTTTAAGACATTAGCGCTTTAATAAAGACTACTTTCATGAAGGCTTTTGTTCCAACTGTTTTTTTTTTACCGTAATTGGTTTTTGGCAGACATGGCAGTTTCAGCAAGTTAAACCAAGGACAGGACAATGTGTATGTTCTATGGACATTTTCAAGGCTTGTGGTGCTGTTGAGTGTTGTCAAAACTACCCAAAGTTATATCAATGGTATAAGATGTTAAGCTAAGTGCACCTAAAACTGGCAACTGAGCAAAGACATTTGGATACCAAATCCATTATTAACGAGATGTACAGGTGTATGTTTTGTTATGGACACCTGCTAGCAAATCAGAAACAAGCATCTTCTGTGGTATAAGGGAGTGAGTGCATTAGCAGAAAAGCCCCCATATAAAGAGTTAATACATATTAAATGGTCAGTTAATTCACACTGTGAGTAAACTGATGGAAATTAATTGAATTTGTATCTTGTTACAGATAAAGCAATTCAAGCCAAGTGCCCAATTTTGCAGCCTAGGTCAGTCAGAACTATTGAGGGACAGTTTCCTCTCCATCAGACGGTTCACAGAGTGCTGCACACACCCCCTTTCTTCCCCCCACTGACCTAAATGTACTGGTGACTGCCAACATTGACATTCTGCCATTATACCAGCCACCTTTTTTGTTTGTTTGTAGAGTAGAAAAGTGGCTTTTAATAAGACAAGCTGAGCAGTCAGAGTGGAAATTGACCGCAGATTTGCTGCACTTTGATCCAAAATATGTGGGTCTATCCCTGGATGTGTTTATTTATTTGCCCACATACACACAAGCCCAAATATGGCGTAACTTTACACATAAAAAGCACATTAGGAGACCTGCAGTGCAATTTCGTAGATGCTTTTATTTGAACTGCATGAATACATGTATTTTCCGCATCATAAGCGCTGCTACAGTTGGTTAATATTCAGCACAGCGTTGCATGTTTTGGTTAGTACTCATGTTTAACTTGAGTAAATCATGCAGTTATTGGATTTTAAGGTTTTAGTAAAGAGGACATATTATGATAAACACACTTTAACAGTGCTTGTGTACATACATGTGGGTACCATCCAAACAAGAAACTGTGAAATTAGACATTTCAGTGGATTTTTTCAAAAACTTTGATGATGCGCCATGTTTTGTTCTTGCACCTCAATCAACCTGTAGTGGGAGTTGGGATTTTTTTGAACTTTTATTCATGGTAAAATGTTTAAGAAACAACCGAAAATGAATGTATGAAGCTGAAAAGCGCATGATATGTCCCGTTTAAAGTGGACCTATCATGCTATATTTAAATGATATATTGTAGGGCCATACCTATATAAGGTATATTCATACGTTTCTGTTTTCAAAATACCAAACAGATCATGCATTTGAGCCATGCCTCATTTCGCTCTATTTGCTGTTCTCCAGCCCTGTTTTTGCAGGGGGCTGATTCTGTGAGCTGCAGCTGACCACGCCCCCCTGCAGGAGAGGGGAGCGTGTGCTCTGATCAAGTCAGAAGAGGGGGAGAAAAAGAGATCTCCGTCTTCCGTGTTTTATTCTTATATGATTATATAGAGTCATTATTCATTTGTTTTAAAGCTCAATAAATAACAAAGAAGACCTTTGACCGGCACTTTTCTAATTTTGTCCGGAAGATTTAAACTTTATCGGACATGTTGACCGGCTAAATCTAACTGAAACTCTGCCGCACGGTCCCCTCGTTCCTTGGAAGAGGCGGAGAGGTGGGTGTTTGTCATCTGCTGGTGGACTAACCGGAGAGAATTACAGTGCTTGCCTCGACGGGGAGGGATTGCATTGAATTACAGCAGCGGGAGCAAACGCTTGCCTTGGGGAGGGAGAAAAAAAGCCACAGCGGAGAATAAACAGAAGGGTAACCATGGTAACCATGCGCGGGATGTCTTCTTCGCTGCTTTTGTGGCAGACTACAGCGCCACTTACAGGCTTGGCATATGTACTACAGCGTCTCCAGCGCTTTCGAGCGGCAATGGCCGGCCGTGGCCCAACCCCACATTCCCCTGATAGGTGGAGAGTTGGCCCAATAGCCGTAGCGCCACTTTACTGACGTCAGTGAAATGTTCAAATCTGGATCAGTCTGTATCAGATCCGTTGCAGCCCCTTTTTCAGAGATTTGGGTATGGAGGAAAATAGAGAGGGTTGTGTTTTCTGACACTTGGTGAGTTCCCTGGAACACCGGGCACACATATTCATGTATAAAAGACGTACAAAAGTGCATTTTGCATGATAGGTCCCCTTTAAGTCAAACTGTTTATTTGTATTTCTGCACTGGCTACATGTTAGAGGCCCAAATGTGAGACACGTTAATAAAATAGTGCAATCTGATTGTTTCTCTCTTTTTGCTCTCCTAATGGCAAGTCATTTCCTCTTTCCTTTTCTGTGCAAATTAGCTATCCACATTCATTCCAGCCATCACCGACACTCGTGCTGTCCCACATTGTCAGCACACAAAGCCTCCCATTTATAGATTTCAAGCGTCTTATCGAAGCCGTCAGCTTTCTTCCCCCGACACATCAGTCGTCATCTGATCCTCAGATGACACAGCTGAATGTGTCTTTCTGTCTGTCAGAATTAAATCTGCCATGTTCAGAAGAATCTAAAGCATCTCAAAGACTGTCGCTGCTCTGCTGACAAGATTATATTAATTTGCTCTATTAATATATTGCCCTACTTTTTTTTAAATCTTGGTTGATTCTGGTTTTTGGACGTAGCGGCTATAATTCAAGCAGGATGTGGTTTAGCGTTTAGTTTATCCTCTTCTTCACCTACATTTTCCTCACAAATATAAGTGTGCTTTTTATTTTAGTTGCAGTATTAGTTTACTAATTTAACTAGTGAAGCTCGACAAAAATGTCAACCACTTCCGAGCAGATTTCAGCGTGAACCAGCCAAACGTATTTTTCTGTCTAGGTTGAGCAAAGCTTACTTGAATCTTAATGGGCCAGGTGAAGTTGCTGACATAGACAAAGAAGGTTATGTTAGGGTTGTTGCGGAAGTCGAAGTTCTCGTTGGAGAAGCTGTCTTTGAACTCCTTGATGTTGCTCCGGGACACGATGGGGATCTCCTCCCCGGTCTGGGTGCCTGCTGGAGGACAGAGGAGAAATGACGTAGATGATGATGACATGGAAGTGTGAGGATGTCGGAAAAATTGAGTATGAGGGGAAAAACAAAAAGGCCCATAAGATGAAGGCAGGTGGACAAATGAAAAACAGGAGATACAATGTAACTTTTTATTAAGTTAAAACAATAACGTTAACTCGTTTTTATGTGATAACGTTTTTCCACCAAGTTCTAAACGATACTAATCAAACATGATAGCTCTTTCAATTTATGTAAATGTAATTACAGAGAGATAGAAATAATGACTTTGAGTTTAACGTTCACTCCTGCATTAAACACAGCTCAGAATATGATAAATGTTTCCCGCCTCATTCAATTTGTCTTTCTGAAGACAGAGAATATGTAGCAGCCTACTACTCATTGTTTAATTGTTTCAGCGCTGAGTGTTTTTGTGGAGACTTACCACTGAAGCTTGTGGCCCAGGTGATGTTCAGGTTGAAGTTCTTGGAGGCGTTTATGAACATGTCTAGATCCCGGTTTGGCTGAGGAGGGAAAGAGAACACAGAGAGCATGAAGTCACAATCATCATCAACATTAGTGTCATTATGCAATATCATACAAAGAAGAGGAGAGGAAAACGATGAATGATACTTTAAAGAGGACATATTGTGCTAATTTGCAGGTTCATATTTGTATCATGTGTCTCTACTGTGACATGTTTCCATGCTTTAATGTTCAAAAAGCTCTTTACTTTTCTCATACTGCCTGTGCTGCAGCACCTCTTTTCACCCTCTGGGTGTTTCTCAATCGCGAGTAAAGCTGCTCCAGAGCCACTATTTCAAGCATACTACGTCATCGAGTGCCGCCGAAGTACTGTTCCAATCTCCAGCATACTTGGAATTCTACCGAGCCCGGCGTACTTCGTTTGGAGAAATTTCGAGGCTGCACATGTGTAGACTCCGCGGTCTTAAAATCCCCACAATGCTTTGCGCACGGAACAATTTCCCCAAATCTGTGGCGGAAAATGTAAGGCGGGGCCTCTCATATGACGCACACCTGCACACTTGCTAGCCTGTTCCACTCTTTGTTTTCCGAATGCCAGGAAGTATTCTTGCCTCGCTTCTGAAGCAAGACACTCAGAAGACATGTGCTACCAAGCAAGCGTACTCGAGATTGAGAAACACCCTCTGTCTGAAACCAGAGCCCAGTCTGCTCTGATTGGTTAGCTGGCCGGCTCTGTTGTGATTGGTCAACCGCTTAGAGATGTCCCGCCCCTTAGCCTATTAGCCTTTGAGCGCTATCCAATGGAAGAATGAGTGTTACACAGTGAAGTCACCATGTTACAGAGAACGTTTGTACTATGTCCAAAAGCTCCTGTGCTTTATGATGAATAGTGCGGCGTAGGGCACATTTGGGCCGGTAATGGAAGCTGCATTAGCTAAACTAATGTTTGAACAAGAGTCAATGTTGAAAATGATTTTCCTTAAAGTACTGTACTGTAAGTGCAGCGATACCCGCTTTGATCACGTCAAGTAGATTTAAACGAGTCCTAATTCATGTTTACTTACTGATTGAAAGGCTGCGTTTGTGATTAATAATTGTAAAAGCTTCAGTGGGGATGAATATTTAAAGTGGCTCTGTAAAAAAGCTGATATGTTTGCTCAAATTATTATTAAATATGTAAAATATAAGTTTGCTTTTTGGAATAATTCTTCAGCATCATTTGGCTAATTAAATAACTGCTGAATATAATCCAAGTTCTGTCTTATTTTTTAGATATACATACAATTACAGAAGCAAGACGTAACTAAAATGTCAATTTCCTATTAATATCTAACACTTCTCTGTAACATTTATCATTTTATTTTTGTAATTTATAACTGTCTTATTATATTTTAGCTTGTAATATTTCTATTTTCTTGGTTTCAAAATGACAGTTTTTAAGTGTATTTAAATGTGCTAATGTTTTTCGGTTGCACTGCATTGCAATGTTTTTCAGAAGCTGCATCGTGTTGAATTGTGCAATATAAATAAAGTTGCTTTGCCTGGGTTTCCATTTGTCGAAACATTTTGTCAGGGAAGAATACCATCTGGAATATTAAATCAGAGCCGTGTGTGTTAGTACCGGCTCCAGATGCTGCAGCCAGGTAAACAGGACAGGACGGCTTTTCATTTGCTGTGAAAACATCTGTGTGTAGTTCACACACGATGATACACTGCAGGCTGCCATTAACAGAGGGGGGGTGGGGTGGGGAGGGGGAAGCCAGTGTCGAGCCTGACTCATAACGTGACCCACAGGAGAAACACCTCAGATTTCAGGGCATTTAAAAAGGAATGTCATTTTACTTTTAAGGTGGGGGTTTAGCTCCTCAATATACATCTGACTTCCAACTTTAGGAGGTCATTTCTGGGTTAAACCTGAAGACTCATTTTTCTGTACAGCCCTGGGTTAAATAAATTATATTTGTGTGTCAAATTTTCCCGTCTACTTTTCTTTCTTTTTTACACCTCTTAAATTGTGGAAACTAAAATCCACTTTAAATTCCAGACTTCATAGACCCGCACAGAAAAATAACTTAACTGTACTTTCTGTTGATTATTCATTTTTGATTATATATTGAAAAGGAATGTCATTTCACTTTTAAGGTAGGGGTTTAGCTCCTCAATATATATCTGACTTCCAACTTTATGAGGTCATTCCTGGAAATGTCTGGGTTAAACCTGAAGACTCATATTTTTCTGTACAGCCCTTAGTTGGGAAATGACTTTTAAAAAACAATACAAAATGTAAGACTACCTTTTTCATATTTTACTGTTGTTCTTTTGTGATATATTGCATTTATATACTTGTTCTTTTGTGATATATTGCATTTATATACTTGTTCTTTTGTGATATATTGCATTTATATACTTGTTCTTTTGTGATATATTGCATACTTGTTCTTTTGTGATATATTGCATTTATATACTTGTTCTTTTGTGATATATTGCATTTATATACTTGTTCTTTTGTGATATATTGCATTTATATACTGTACCTTCTCAGTTAATTATCATATATTGTATGTAAAGCACCTTGTTACTTGTTTTGAATAGAGCTTCATAAATGTAGTCTTATTGTATTTTTTGTTACATTTGATAAGATGACAGAATGACATCAGTGCGTGTTTTATTATTTTGTATTAGTTGTCGTATTATTTAATTTGAATAAAGACACTATTATCATATGATACCACTAAATGGTTTCTCTGCTTACAACTGCTTTGAATTCATTATGATTAGTCTTTTTTGTATTTTGTATTGGGGAGGCAATAATTATTGCAAATGTAATAATATATTGTGAATATTTGTGCATTTGTTGGTTCATGCGTCTGTACAATGATAAGCATGGATTACATGTCTCTTCATACTGTAGGTTTGAAACAATGTGAGCAAAACAAACCATACACAATGTCAAATGGGACTATTGGTCTCAGAAGTTTTTTGGAGACATTAATAAGATTGATGGTTTTCTCAACACAGCAACATTTGTTTACTTCTTTACAGGTCTCTCTTAAAGAAAAGAAGATATTTTGTAGAGATGTCCCGATCCGATCACGTGATTTTCAAAAGATCGGAATCGGGAGAAAAAAATCGGGGATCGGGATGTTAATGTTACAAAACAAAAATGACCATGTTCACGTCTTAAAGTCATCCTGAGGCCTTAGTTTTGGTTTAAAATTACACAACATCATGTATGTGTTGCTTCTTTTGGGCTTGTTTTCATAGACCTGGTTGCTTATTTCTCTCAAATCTGGCAACAGAGTGGGCAGGGCGCAGTGTCTAATAGTAGCAGTAAGCTAACGAGAGGCTACGTTCAGCTGGTGACTCGGGAGTCGGGACAGAGAAAATGTCAGGAGTTTGGAAGTATTATAAAATTGAAAGCAAAGGCAGTGTAACAGCCAGATGCAATGTTTGCAAGGCGGAGGTTCCGCGTGGTGGAAAGAACAGAGCTACGTTCAACACGACCAATCTAATACAAACACCAACAACAACACGACGAGTACACAGCGGCCACTCAGGTAACGGCACTGAAACAACCGACACTTTCAGAGACTTTTAAAAGGAAAGAGAAACTGCCCCAGAACAGTGAAAAGGCCCAAAAAATAACAGCCAAGATAGCTGAATTCATCGCGTTGGATGACCAGCCGTTATCTGTTACCTTTTTTTTCTCTTAATGCATTGCATAAAGATCGGATCGGGAAAAATCGGTATCGGCAGATTGTCAAAATCAAATGATCGGAATCGGATCGGGAGCAAAAAAAGGTGATCGGGACATCCCTAATATTTTGTTTATTGTTATGCATGTATCTTCAGAAGAAGCCTTGTTGTTTGACAGAGATGTGAGAAACTCATCATGTGGTGCTGTTCTTTCAGTCTTTAGTCCTGACAGAGCGACAGCTGTTGGGACGGTGGGGCGTTCACTGTCAGACACGTACCTCCTCAGGTGTGGCCACGAAGTTGATGGCGGTGTAGTAGCGGTCGTCCTCCTGCGACAGGCTGAAGGTGAACTGGTAGTCGATGAGCAGCGTGTCTGTTGGTAGAGATGGAGCCGGGGGGGAGGGTGGGTGAGGATTGCCAAAGAAGAAGGAGAAGGAAAACTCCATTAAGCTAGTTTCAAAGTCAGACAAGAACATGCACTTTCTTAGATGGACCTGAAGTTGTTAGTGTGTGTTGTCTGTGATGAAGGTAATAAGAGACTCTGTGTTCAAGCAGCCATTCGACAACAGCTGGAGCTCTCTGTAACCAGATCATAATGATCATTTATAAAAAAGTTGACTAGTTTACAAACAAAGTTAAACAAAAACCAGGCTTGGGTTAAATAAATTATATTTGTGTCAAATGTTCCCGTCTACTTTATTTTTTACACCTTTTATATTTCGGAACTAAAATCCACTTTAAATTCCAGACTTCATAGACCCGCACAGAAAAATAACTTACCTGTACTTTCTGCTGATTATTTATTTTTGATTATATATTTAAAAATTGAATTGAATTGACAATTATATTTGAAAGAGAAAAGCAAATCCTTACATGAGACAACTTTTACCAAACCAAGATTTAAACTGCTCTCAGTTTATTATACTTTTCTCTCCTTGCACTTTCTTAACGCCTATGCTAATACTAAAAAATGTATTTAGTTAACTACGTTTTGAAATTATTTTAATTGCATTGTTTACACATTACATTTTAATTATATATTTTTAAATCATTTAAATGTTTTAGCTTTATATGTTTGCATGACATTTTCTCAATGCCTACGAACAACTAAGACACTTCATGATTCCATCAATAAAGAAAAATTCAATTGAATTCACATTTCTAATATACATGCCTGTTCATTTAAAGCAGACTGAAGAGAAAACGTCCCAAAGTATGATTTTGTCGACTTAAATTATTGATAGCTCCTTCCATGTTCTTAAATAACATTATTATGTTGATAAAAAGGAGACAATTTTGTTTGAAGACCATTTAGATAATAAGAAAAAAGTAGAGCTATTTAAATCCCATGGTCCCTCTGCATTTTCATATTCTCTGGGACGTAATCATATTTGACAAGAACAATAATGACAGGAGAATGATCTGCAGTGTGACACACACACACACACACACACACACACACACACACACACACACACACACACACACACACACACACCACACACACACACACACACACACACACACACACACACACACACACACACACACACACACACACACACACACACACACACACACACACACACACACACACACACACACACACACACACACACACACACACACACACACACACACACACACACACACACACACACACACACACACACACACACACACACACACACACACACACACACACACACACACACACACACACACACCTCCACTTACAGTAACATGTTCCTTTGAGGGGGTTGCCTTGGTAACGATTCTCGACCTCACACCTGAAAGAGAGAGGTGGACGATAGATGAGGGGAAATTAGCGATAATGTGGGTGGAATGAAAGAAGAGGGAGGGGGAAAGAAAGGTGAATTAGGACGATTGAATTGCTGATAAAACAAAACAGGAGGAAATCCATGCATCCCAAACAGGGCTGAGAACACACACACAAACATGCACACATACACACACACACAGTTGCAACCTTCAGTCTGCTGCAGGAAAACCACAATGCAAACGAAACAGATGAAAGAAGAATAATGAAAGAAATGGAGCTGGCAGACGTCGCTAACAGAGACTTTCTTTTGACAAAAATAGACTAATTTTCATTCACGGATCTGCACTGTATCTCAAGTTTTAATGGGTTTTGGAAAGCCCTATGGTAATGAAGGCCACAGATAAGATTAGTGTGGCTCAAACTAATGAACAGCTGTGATTACAGAAAGGCTAAAACAAGAGATAAAGGACAAGCAGGGTAGTAGGCCTTTCTTTCAAACATATTAGCATGCTAGCTTTAATGTTTATTTAACATTTTTGTTTTCTAAACAAAATCCTTGAATTTCAATTGGGTCATTAGCTTTGAATATGCGCAAATCCAGATGTATACAGCATACAAGTTTAAGCAACAACAACCAACTTTATAAAGCTGTATTTCCCATTCATCTACTCCATTGACATAAAGTCCTTGCGAGACTTAGCATTGAACTTTTTTCAATACTTTTACAACATAGAAAATGAAAAACTGAAAAGAATCCTAAGGTAAAAGACTGCGTGGACCACTCGTTGACCCTTGAAAAACTTGAAAAGAAACGTGTTTTCGGGAAACCCATATCACTAAACTATTTTCATGATATAAATTAAGTTTTCCAAACCAAAGATGGTCAGGTTTGAAATCCAGGAACAGACCAAGGAGCAGACTCTTGAAACCTACCCTTATTCGTGGTAATGATTTCTATGTGAACAGTGGCATTTCTGTCACACATTGGGATTATGGGTAGTGTAGTGATTGTCCATGACACCGCAAAAAAAGGAGGTTGATATCATATTTGTTTGTGGCTTCTACAGTAGCTTAAAACCGCCATTCAACAACATTATGGGTAATAATTTAAATCCTCAGTTAAGAATTTAAATTGGATTTTAATTCAGGGAAAACTCACTGTTCAGTTCTTTACTGCATGTGCTGGAAAAACGGACTACTCTCATACCCAGTAGTTAATTGCATAATTGGGGTATAATTAAGATATAATTCAGCAAAAAGGAACATTTGAAACTCACAGGTGGCAGCGGTCTCCTTTGATGCCCTTTGTGGTGCAGAAGCACTTCCCGTTGTTGGGGTTGCACATGCTGGCGTGGCCGTTGCACTTACAGGCTGAACAAAAGACATGAAACATAAAACTTTAAGTGCATCAGTAAAGCAATACCATTCCTTTTTTACATTGAATGACTGCTATCAATCTAAATAACAGACTGCTAGTGAATCGTGAAGGTATAATATTATGTCGAGGGTGATATATCGACTCTTGTGAAAGGAAAGTCTAAAAAAAAATCTAATTTGATCTATATATCCCTTTATCACAAATGACACACAGATTTGTCTTAGGGGGCTCTACATACTGTGTACAGCATATGAAGAACCTAGAACAACTCCTGTGACATTAACAGTGTGTGTGCGTGTGTGTGTGTGTGTGTGTGTGTGTGTGTGTGTGTGTGTGTGTGTGTGTGTGTGTGAGGGATAGCAACAGAGGAATTATCCCTCTCACTGGACAAACATAGGAGCAATAGATGTCATGTTTCATGTGAACGTGTTTGAAAAAGAAGCATCCAAATCTAAGCTTTTTCATGTCTTGTTTACATGTATGAGTTGTAAACTCTGCTTTTACTGAATGTGAACAGTCTCATTCATCAAGCAAAGGACAAGGTAGAAATACAAAATAGTGCTCCAATATCCAGTCGTTTAGGCCCAGCGCCAAGTCTGTGCACAGAGGTTAAAACAACTTTAAACGCTGCATTTCCCACTCAAGCTCTGAGGTGACTTTAACGTCCCATGGGACAGTTTCAGTATCCGTCAACAGATGCCAAATGTTAGGTGTGGTGATTTGGAGGACCAATTTCAAAACTCCTGTATCGATGTTAGTGTTTGCCATCCTTGGCATTAAATCAGTAAATCAATCTTACGAGATGGCTGAGCCGCGTGATTTTAACAGCTGGAGAAGTCTTTGTAACAATGGGCCACTGCTGCTGGATATGTGATTGTATGTCTCAGTTGTATCTTTTTGGTTTATCCATCATCTCCATTTTAAGGTTGATTATGCATGTTTTTGAGTAAAAGTTATATAAATAAGGTTAAGGAAAACATGCTTTAATGTCCCTGCTGCAAGTAAAGACGAAGCATAAACAAAGAATGAATAACACTTCCTGGTTTATTGCTGATGCAGAACAACTTAAATATATATTCTAAAACAACACCAGAGGAAAAACCTACGTTGGCTGTGATACATTGCTTAGATAAATTAAGCCATTGAAGTAAAGGATGATTGATTAGTTGTCGTATCGACTCGATGTCAGCATTAGCTGCAGACCCGAGTAAATCTTAAATATCCCACGGGACTGCTTTACTGTGCGGCTATAAAACTGAACTGTGAAAACACTGACAAGTTAAATGAAGCTGTGCTCAGAGAGACCGACTGCCTGATTCAGAGCCGACCCACAGGTACTCACGCTGGCAGTTGCCCCCATTGGTGGGGTCTCCGTAGAAGCCGGAGATGCAGCTCTCGCAGTGCCGGCCGGTTGTCAGGTCCTCGCACTTCTCACACACGCTCTCGTTGACACACTGGCTGTGACCGTTACACTGACAGGCTGCCAGGGAGTAAACAGAGCACATACTGCATGAACATCACACGCCAAAAACGTTTTTTTAAGTAAACAGCCCCAGGTCCAAAACATGAATTAATTTGTGTTTTAATTTGCGAGTACAGAAAGTAATTTGCAGTCTGGGATCTGTTCCTGAACTGTCTGTTGGTGCTGCATGCAGAGACCTCGTGTGACAAATGATGTTACTTTGATGTTCCCCATGCCTTCTAGGTTTTGAGGGGCTTCCAAATCTTACGAGAATCGACGACAACACGCAATCCAAAAAAATAAGAAACTGCAGTTTGTGAGTCAAAAGAGTATTTCATTAACAAAAGACACCTACTCTCAAACTGACTCTCAAAATAACAAAACTTTATTGATTAAGTGGTATACTTTCTTAGTTAGCGGCCAAAAAACGTTTTCCCATCTCATCAGGTACCGTATTTAGCTGTATCCTTTATCTCCTTACCCATATCTGTATGTTGTGTCTCTCCTGTGACATGTCTCCATGCTTTAATGTTCAAAAGCTCTTTATCTTTCTCATACTGCCTGTGCTGCAGCACCTCTTTTCACCCTCTGTCTGAAACCAGAGCCCAGTCTGCTCTGATTGGTTAGCTGGCCTGCTCTGTTGTGATTGGTCAACCGCTTGGAGATGTCGCGCCCCTTAGCCTATCAAGCACAATGTGTTGGAGCGCTAGCCAATAGAAGCGTTGGTGTTACATAGTGATGTCATTATGTCACGGAAGTAAACAAATAAGTCTAATTGAGGCGTTTTAGGCAGGGGGGGAGTTTGTGGGAGAGAAACTCCCTTTGGAGGGAACACAGGGACCTCATCCTTTGCAGACCATTGACATGCACAAAATCAATATTATAAAACACACAACAGGAAAGGGAAAACTCCAAAAAGCACAATATGGCCCCTTTAAATAACGTTTTTACATTAAGTTGTGGAGCTGACCAAAAGGGGAGCCTAAAAAAGGCATGCGTTTTTCTGTTAGTTTTACATTTTAATGAACAAGTAAAACAATCCCTGTGAGTGAGCAAACATTTCAGACCTATTGGTTGTTGGAGTAGTTTTTATATTTTTTTATACAGGCACTTTGAGCATCATCATGAGGATTAGTATTCAGCCGGAGCAAACTGTTGTATAATGTTCATTTGGCTCTGAAGGAAGCCTTTCTTCCTCAACAATAAGCCTGAGTGGACATGTGGTGTTGGAAAGAGATGGCAGCGAGGGGGCAGAGGGCTCTGAAGAAAGGAGCTATTGAGTTGGATTTAGGAAATGAAGGATCCTGTTCCTGCTGACCCACACTTAAAGATATTTAATGTCAAGATATCTCGGTCACTGCTACTTTGATTTTTTTCTTTAGGTTTACGTTTGTTATGTAAGAGCAGTACCAAATTGCTGGGGAAAAGCTAAATATATTTCCTTTAAAATAACTCTTTCCTCAACAACACGTTTATATATTTTCGGTAAGCGATTACTATTTAAAATACTCTCGCACAGAGCCGCCCCAATTCTCTGCTTGAACTAGATTGGGTCTGACCCAAAAACAAAGCCTTTGTCAGAAAAATCAGGGCCAACACAGGGGGGGGATTTCAATTGATTGTTCAAGTCTAACTTTTAGTGTAAATGCGTCTACAGAAATAATAATAATAATAATGCTGTATTATATAGCACTTTTCATACAACACGTTTAGCTCAAAGTGCTTTACAAAATGACATCACAAGTAATTTAAAATTATTTCCAATGAAGATTGAGCGCAATAAATTACAATACGCATATACACGTATAAAAACAAGAAATTCCCCTCAGATTATTTGTTAAGAATTTTAAAAGGTACATGCAGCAAAATATAACATTTTATCAGGATAATAGACACAAAGAGGTCAAATGTATGATAATAAAAATAAAATAAAATAAATAATGTTTCTCTGACAGATAAAACACTGACAACTGAGTCGATGCAACAATATATAATATAAAACCCCATAAAACAAAATGAACATATAGGTACAACAGAAATACAAATAAAAAGATTAAAACAAATAAAGCAACATAAAGGTAGGTAAATAATAAAGACTAAAAGAACATTTAAAGTGGGGGGTTGCTAATAAAAAGCTAATCTAAAAAGATGTGTCTTTAGCTGTCGTTTAAAAATGTCCACTGAGTTGGCCAGTGGACATTCATTTATCAGATTATAACATAGAAAGCGTTGTGCTCCCGTACCTGGGCAGTGGATGAAGGACCAGTTGTATTTGGCCTCGTTGGGGCACATGCTGGCGTTGAGGGCGGGCTGGGGGCTGGCGGGCTGGGGGCTGGCGGGCAGGCCGGGCAGGGTGGAGGGGGCCGGCACCGCGGTCTGGAAGGGCCCGCGGTACGAGCCCTCGATGCACTGACCCCTGCCCGTGTTGTTGTGGTCGGTGCACCAACCGCAGCCCGGCTGGTCCAGACACTGACCGCAGGTCCTGTACCCCGAGCAGTTCTCCGCTGCAGAAAGAAACGGTCAAATTAATGCATGGGATTCAATTCCAGAACTGTGTGGACATATTTTCTTAAAGTCTCTGTCCACATATCGCCGGCAGAAAGGCTTTTTTTGACAGTGATATCTTGACAACGTATCACCGCAGTTGTATGACAGACTTGCATCACCCCCTTTATTTTCTGTTCGTGCTACTATATATTTGTTTGACATGGTTATTTTACTCCTATCCAACTGGAAGACGCTTGCTCTCACACTTTGTACGAAGCGAGGACGAAAAGTCACACACTCACCGGCAGCAACATCCAGTGTCCACCCGGGTTATCCTCCCGTATAAATGGGAACAATATTCATTGTTATGATAGTTTCAAAGTCTTAAAGACACGGTCAAGCTTTTCCTCCAATTTCTACAATTACGTCACGGACACTTTTCTAAAAAAGCTAAATATTTTTTATTTGAAGCACCCGGAGCAATGCAAAAAGAGCAGAGCGCTGGGTTCAGCATTTCTTCTCGAGGCAGTATGCGCTCAATCTTCATTGGAAATAATTGAAAAATGACGCTATAGAGAACAGGCCTTTACTTGAGCTGGTTCTCAGTGATTCCCCATGTGTAAGTAAAGGATTCAAATATAAATTACTGTCCTATGAATGGTAGGGTAAGAGTATATTTTTTATTGGGTGATGTAAATAAGGTCTAGCCTTTGCAAAAGATTAAATTACTAACACCTCCATCAGGCTCAACAGTTAATGTATCTCTCTCCAGCTGCTCTCTATAAATATTTGCTTATACTTTAAATCCTAGCTCTCAGCCCTTGAGGGGATTCTCTGTGTGTAGCTGTAGCAACAATATATGCTTAATTGACCTGCCAGGTTAAATAAATGAAAATTGTTCTTCGCTGCGCTGTGCACACAACAAAGCACCAGCCGCAGACTCGGCTATCAAACTATTAAAGCAGATTATTAATCCCCATCTCATCTACTGGAGGGGCCACAGTGTAATGTGCTCGGCTAAATGAAGGTTAAAAAACAACACTAAAGAAACTCCGCTTCAGAGAGTCACAGTTATTTCAAATGTTGCCTTTGAGGGACGTTCTTTTAAGTCTGATGGAGATCGCTACATTTGCTCAAGTGGTTAAGAACATTAAGGAGCGCTACGTGAGCGGACTTCAGATTTGTGCTTTCTTTAATGTGTTGAGTTTTTCTTCCGTCCTCAGATTGAAACTCATGACCGGGAGGCTGGTGGTTCTGCATGTAGCCGCAGCAACTTAATCAGAGGTTTAAACAGCATGATAGAACATTTTCATTTGTCTGAGTGTTTTTGCTACAGTAATTAGTTTGGAACAAAAAGGGCCAGAGCTGTGTAACTGGCATAAGAAACGCATGGAGAGATTTGTACACGCTTTAAACTTTGACATTTTATGTAGAATCAATGGGTTACGAATCAAGAGATGCCAATGGCAGGGTTATAAAATGCAGAAAGGTTATTACACTAGGACATGATGAGATCAATGAGTCAACAAATCCTGTACTTGTTACTTCAGCAAAGAGAAAATGTCTAATTGTAATGGTGCGTAATTTCCCTGAAGGTTTCCTGTAGCGTGTTACTAATTATAATGTAAACAAGACTGTCAGTAAAAAATACAAATAAATTCCACCCAAGTATATGTTTGGTTATTATTGAAGACATTATCATGTTGCGTCGCTAAACTATTTAATTAGTTAATTAAGTATAACAAAACGCTATGTATTTTGCTGAAATGACTACCAAATAAAAGTACTTTTCAAGAAACTTAATAGAAGGAACATTGGAAAAGTGTTATTCTTTTTGAGTCCTTGTTGATTCCACTTCTGTGCCCCAATACATTTTTCAGAGGTGTTCCATTTGAAGCTTCACTATACAAAGTCTTGTGAAAGAGACTGAATGACCAAAAACATGAAGTTCTAACAGGTAAATACTTGTTATTCAATATTCTGAGTCTATATATATCAATAATATACAAACATCTTAATTAGTTAAATCTTTGAAATATGATATAAAGATCAGAAAGAAACTGCAGAGATTGAGAGTCTTACGTGGGCAGGTGTTCATGGTGAACCACTCCATACACTGTCCGAAGGGGAAGGAGGCCACGTACGCGTTGGAGTCGACGCACTGCTTCATGTTACTGCACCACATGCACTCGGAGCTGCCGCTGGTGCACTCGCTGCACATGGCCCTCATGGCACATGGGGTCCGGCACTGCTTGGCACTGTGGTTGGCTGGGGGACATTTCAACAAGTTAGGCTGGTACTGTACAACATTTCCATTTGTCTATTTGTAAGTGTTTTCCTAAGAAAGCAACAGTAATTAGTTTGGATGATACACAGTTCTTTGGGAGTTTTTAAAGGTCCCCTATTATACTGTTTTTCATCAATATATTATAGGTTTCAGATATATACAAAAGTGAAGTGTTTGGCTCCAAACAGATCATTGCAGCATCCCATAATCCCCTCTGTTTCAGCCCTGTTTCAAAAGTGCTGATTCTCTGTCTGTTACTTAGATGAAAATAAGGAGCCACTCCCCACGCCCCTCAGAGATATTTGGGTAAAAAGAACACAATGGTGCTCTAGGAGGAGATTCAGGTGATAAGGTGGGGGGGGGTTACCTTGGTTGGTGATTGGCTAATGGTTACACAAGCCAAAAAATCGTTATGACATCATAAAGTGGCCAAAATCTGATCAGCTCATTTTCAGACAGGTTTTTATAGAAATGGATCAGGACAAAAAGAGAGAGAATCTTTTTTCCTGAAACTTTCAGAATGTCTTTACACAGAGGGGACACATGGTTATGTATAAAAGACATGAACAAGTGGATTTTTTATAATAGGTCCCCTTTAAGTATTTTAGCACCCACCTGGTCGTTCACACAGGCTGCCGTTCACCGGGTTGATGCAGGTCTGTGCCTTCAGTCCGCTGGACGCCGGCTCGGCCAGATATCCACAGAATCCGGCGTCGCTGGGCTCTCCGGGCAGCCACTGCAGCGAGGTGTTAGTGAAGGGAGACATGTCCTCCCAGCACCAGTACGACACGTTGATCTTCCTGAGCCCCACCCAGGGCGTCAAAGAGGCCTTGTACTGCAAACACACAGCAGCACCACAAAGTCAAAACAAGGATATTACACACAACAAAACACGCTGTTTTCTATGAATGTGATCACTGCTCAAAGCTTGACTACTGTTTACTTACACTACTCATCATTATAGCTTCAATGATTAGACAACGAATAATCACTTAGCATTTTCTGCCATGTTTGTATGAAAAATAAACTGTTTTCAGCCTTTCAAATATGTAGATTTTCCAGATTGTATCTTTTTTATATCATATTAAAACTGTGGGTAAGGTGACCAAATAAATGTTACAAATGTTCTTTTGGAAAACGATTTTCTTCACAATTTGTATACATTTTATCGACCAAAAACGTATCAATTTAATTAATGTTGAAAAAAATAATTGTTAATTTGTTGTCTTTTAAAATATATATTTTTGTGAATCTGCTTTTTAACGTTCTCTTAGCGTTTGGTCATAGTCTAATGTTAAAAGCTCATTAAAAAACGGTTGAAAAAGAGACAAGTTAAGTTCATCTGTAAATAAAAACTAATGTGACATTGATGAAAATCATGTCAAGAAAAAAATTAGGACTTTTGACTGTTTTGTTTTGTTTCAGGTATCACGACTTGCGCTGGCTGTGAGCAACAATAAATCTTCTACACTGAATACATTTCCCTTGGCGGCACTAGAAGCAGCTTTACTTCCTCCACCTGGGAGGCTCTGTTATCCATCCCATCTCTAATCAATAATGGCCATGCTGTTGCAGCAGTAGTAAACAAAGAGAGAATTACTGTTCCATCAGGATTTAATTGCATTTCTGGGATTGATTGATCCGGTCTGTAAATAGTAGGAAGTGCTAAACAGCACAAACGGCGTCTATAAAACATGACAGGAAGACTTGTGAAGCACGTGTCTCTGTGGCTGTGCAGCATTTCATTGTTAGACTGGACAGGGTGAAAACATATATTATTCTGGAGGAATGACTTCTTCTCTGACTTTAAGCACAAAGATTACCTGGAACTGACCATGGTAATAGAATTTAGACAACAGGGGAAATCTGCACAATTTCATTAGTATGGATGGAAAACACTCAATCCCAGCTCCACTTTGTGATTTAAACTCAATGTCTTTGTTTAGCGTCCACATTACATATGCTCAGCGGGTTTCCAGCGCACTTTGTAGGATCGTAAGTGGGTAACATTTTAGCACGGGTGACTTCAGTGAGGGATGGCAGTGGTTGTGCCTGAAACCGACATTTCAGTGAAGTGCAGAACAGATAATTAGAGCTCACAGTGAACTCAAGTGGAGACACATACCCTAATATTTAGACAGATTTAGCTGTGATTAGACAAATAACATGGGTCCCCAGCATGAACATGTGAGACTTCTTTGCATAGAGCATAATCATCCATTCAGGAAATATGAAGGATTGTATGATTTCCATTATAGGACAGGAAATGGAAAATTCTAGATCCGACGGCAAGGTCATCAAATGTCGTCTTATTTTCTGATTAACCGTTTAAAATAATTTGTTTACAATGATCTTAAAGACATAGCAGATAATACTCTTATTGGAGAATTGTTGGTATTCATGGTAATGAGTACAATTCTTTATGAATAATCAAAATATTTTCCAAATAAGTCTCTGTTGATCTTTTCATATAAATATGTATTTCTGGTTAATCAAATTTAATCAAAACTCCCGTTTACAAAATTTAAAAAAGGTAAGTTACGCAGATTCTATTATGTTTAATTTATTTGTATTTGTTTTTCTTTGCTAAGTGCCAGACTTAGTCCCATCCTCATTGACCTCAGTGCAACTGGGTGTTATTAATTTACATTAAATTACAATTCATATATGAACCAACTTTGAAATGGGTTAATTACCATCATTATAAGAAAAGCTACAAGGCCAAGCAAATATCTTCAAAGACGAACACATTCAGTATTCATTTAGTTAATCACTTTGCGTGCTGCATCTCTGGGTAAAATGCAACATTTGCATATCTCGACTTGTTTTCATATCCCATGTGTGTTATGGCTGTGTACAAACTGGATGTAAAGATGAAAGCTAACAGTGCACATCTCCTCGTCATTCTCACATCTGTGGTATGTGACCTGCATCTGATGATTACAGTCGATCGTGGGGATAGATTTCTGTGTATTTGCTCGAATGGAGGGAGTAAAAGGTGTCGGAGGAAATAATCTGTTAGTGGTAGATTTGTTTCACTCTCACTACTCCAAGGAATTAAGACAAAGAGAATCAAGCAGAGCTCACCTGGAGATAACAAGCAGCATTTTAAAGAGGGCAGCTACCACAAACACATAAAAAAGCCACAGGAATTTGTTTTTTATATGTGGTGTTAGTTTTGTTTTGTTGAGTACTATAACATGGAAGAGGCAATCTGAACAGTATATTCTTATTTATGTAGCTGATGTATAATTATTAGTGGTGGAAAGTCACTTTTACTCAAGCACTACACTGTCAATTGTTTTGACTGTACAATTGTGAGATACTTGTACTTTACTTTCTCCATTTAGAGCTGCTTTATACTTTTACCCCCTCTATATCTCAGAAGCGCTTACTGTACTTGTTATTCACATACATGTATTTGACAAGGCCATTATGTATATTAAGTACTTCTAGTTTAGATATTGTTTGTATATTCTGTTGCCAGTACCTTTGTACTTCTACTTAATTTAAAGGGGACCTATCATGCAAAATGCACTTTTGTACGTCTTTTATACATGAATATGTGTCCCCGGTGTTCCAGGGAACTCACCAAGTGTCAGAAAACACAACCCTCTCTATTTTCCTCCATACCCAAATCTCTAAAAAAGGGGCTGCAACGGATCTGATAAAAACTGATCCAGATTTGAACACTGTCCTGACGTCAGGACGGTGGCGCTACGGCTATTGGGCCAACTCCACCAATCAGGAGGAGACGGCCATTGCCGTTCGAAAGCGCTGGAGACGCTGTAGTACATATGCCAGGCCAGTAGATGGTGCTGTTCTCACAGAATCTGCCCTTGCAAAAACAGAGCTAAAAAAAGTGCAAATTGAGCAAAATGAGGCATGGCTAAAATGCATGATCTGTTTGGTATTTTGAAAAGAAAAAAGTATAAATATGCCTTATATAGGTATGGTCCTACACTATATTATTCAAATATAGCATGATAGGTCCACTTTAAGTTAAGTCAAGCAAAAATCTCTAAACTCTTCTTCCACCATGGATGATTATAGATGTCGATGCAAACTTCTTGATGTACGATTTTAATCATTAAAATGGTCCAATCTGATTGATCAATTCAGGTGATATCCAGGACTGTCCCCCCCCTCCCACTTACCACCACGCTCATGATCTGCAGCTCCTTCAGCACGAAGTCCACCTTCTTCTGCGTGGTGAGCGAGGCGAGCACGGCGTTGTGGCTCCGGCAGGCCAGCTTGGCGTTGTCGTACGAGTCCTTCGCCGTGATGATCTTCACACAGGAGTTTCCAACAAGGTGCCAGCTCTCACCACACACGTTTTCTGGAATAGAGAAGAAGAAAAAAAAGTCATTAGATGAGAAGTAGAGAAAATATGAGTTTGAACAATGAGTTGACAGATTATGAATAGGACAACTTTTTATTTGATTATCCAACATCATTTTCAATGCTTGTATCAACAGGTTACCACAGGAAAGGAATCCCAGCCATAGAGGGACATACACATTGTCAAATGTAGGAAGTACTGTCACATTGAATCCAACTTAAATTAAAACCAGTATGATATAATAAATATGATATAATGTTGTATCCTCTGTAAATTAGTCAAATTTTGCAATTATAGTTCTGATAAACGTCCTGCAGGTTAAATATAGTGAAATCCAACATATTGGTTTCCAACTTTACGATGGAACCTGTAAGGGAACATCTCTCTCCATATATATAAATATTTGACCATATCATCATACAAGCTTGGTTATCGGTGATGCATCCCCAACTCTTATCATTAAATCCAATCCAATCCAATCACTTGTATATAGACTCTTATTGCACAATTTCCCTATTTTACTATTTTATTTTTGTATTTACTTGCACTATTTTTTCTGTTTTTCTGTTTTATTGTGTTGCACTGTTGGAGGAGCCTGTGACCTAAGATTTTCATCGTCATAACTACACTGTAGCTATGTACGAATGACCAATAAAAGCCTTGGGGCATCAACTGTTCCCATAAGTGATGATAGATGGCCAAAAAGGCGATGATGAAACTAACACCAAAATTGTAAATACTTTACATTTCCTCTGCCTGTGAAGTAATGTTTGTATTCCCACCGTTACCTGGCAGTGAGATGCACTCCTGGTTGCGGGGCTCCCACTGACAGTTCTGGTCCACAGCGCAGCTCTTACAGCTAGTTTTCTTGTTGCACACCGATGACGGGTTGTCTTTGGGACAAACTTCCAACTCTGCTATGGCCCCCTGGGAAGAGAAAGCAGAAAAATAACTCAAACTCAAACTCAAACTAACAAATCAATATGACTCATGCTCCATAAATGTCTTGTTTCGTTATCAATAGAAGGCAACTAAATATTCTAGATCAGTAACATTTGAAACATATGGAAAGATTTTATGAAGAAAGACTCTTGTATCTAAATGGATTGTTTTCTTCCTGACCATGCAGCGATCAGAGTAGAAAGCCAGGTCATCACAGCTGGAGAGACTGTCGCTTAATAATCAAATATCGAGTGCAGATAGGAGCGCTGGAGGAGACACATGAACTGTCTTCTGGCATCATATTGCATTTGACTGAGAAGCCATTTAACCGCAGATTGACCGATCAGATTCACTGTAGGAGACGAGAGCGTGCTTCATCAGCCCTTTATCTAATCATCACTCAAATTTGATACGTCTCAATTTATAGGGTGTAATAACTCTTGGAGGAAATGAAAGGGAGTACTTTTGTGTCGCATTTAAAATGGATAAAATCTGACAAAGCTAATGGAGTTGCAGAGAAACTCATAATGTCCAAACATTCATCACTCTGTGTTTCAAAGAGCCCATGACTGTTCAAAATCACAAGTACTTCACTTAATAATGCCTTTTAATCGTACATTTTAAACTGCTGTAAGTGAGGAGCAGATGCAGTTAAATGGAAGACTTTTTAAACCCTTTTCTTACCATAGAAATAAATGTTATACCAATTTGTATTTTGTGGTCAAACTATAGCATTGTAAAGGAAATATACATCTGCAGAAATATCCTCCACATACCTAGCCAAGGCCTTAAACTTAATAGTAACACAAGGCATGTGTTCATTCCTATAACATGAAAGCGTTGTCTTTTAGTCAGGAAAAATACAATTAACAATATATTCACCCCAAGTCTTTTGTAAAGAAATGCAATTAATGTGCAATTAACGCTTTGTTTTCTTCTTGCTTCTTTGATGTACTCCAAATTGAATCATTCTAATTATTTTTAATTGTGGTGACATTCTCCCTCTGAGCAAAACGTAAACATATTCCATTGACCTTCTTTTGCAGACATTTGCAGTGAACACAACGGTAGTGCAACTGTACTTTAGGCCTACATTTCAATGAATTTCAGGTATTTTAAGAGACAGTTAGGACTGTGTTTTTTGATGTTGGAGTTGCAGGGTTAGCAGTGTTTTCTCACCGTGGCAGAGGTGCAGTTGCTCCCCAGAGACAGGCACTGTCCGGAGCACCACTGGCAGCCGTTGGTGTTGGCGGTGCAGCTGTAGCAGTCCGTGTACTGGTCACACTTCTCACTGTCTGCATCTGCAACAGTTGGAAGAACATGGACTTTGAATAGGTTTGTCTTAAAAACTATTTAAAGTTATATAAAAGGGACACGCAGAAAGTAAATAAATATTACAAGAGTGTGGGCAAAGTTTTTAACCCGAATACCTGGTCTCACATTGTACCCACATTGTTACATTTTTATTGTCGTTTGATCATTTTAAAACTATTTTTAAGCAATGATTCAAAATGATGGGTCGCAGCATTGAGTTGTGGATGAATTATCCCAATCACTTACTTAATATCGGACTATTATTACTCATTTAATAATGTCAAGTCACCTCTCTAGTCATGGAGCAGCTCATTTTACTGTATTTACTTTACACCATATCACACTAAATATTTCACCTACGGCTCTAAAATGGAAGCATAGGGAGTTTCTTGAGTTCTGGTTCATTTCTCATACGGCACTTTAAGTAATTCTCGTCCTGCTGTGGACCGCTGATCTGTCAACACTTCCTGGACATGAGCTTTCTTCTGGGGAAACTGGGGCAGGGAGGCTGGCAGATAGCAGCAGAGCGGGGAGCCTCTCTGGTATTAAACGTGGCTGAAAGATATTCCGGGGAGCAGTTTCCATCTGCCACCGCTTCCTCAGACCCCCACGCCGGGAAATGAGAGTGCCCGTGTTGGGGGAAACTGAGGATTTTTTGTGACAAATGGCAAACGGCAAACAGAAAAGAATTCTCTCAGCGGGAAGGAGAGAGACCTGGCTGAGCTGCCCCTGATGATCACATCTTGCTATCTGACACACACTCACACACATATACAACACACTCACACACATATACAACACACTCACACACATATACAACACACAAACACATAGGCTGTAAACCCTGAGAACTAGAACACACTGTCATTTTAAAGAAAATGACTTAAATGTAGTGAGGACACTGGAGAACACACACATGCATTCACAGCCTTATGATAACATTATTACCATTTAGATTGTTTTAATTCATTTGTTGATTAAATTATTATCTAGTTTTTAAATTGGCAAATAACAGTACAAAATCCACGTCACGATTTTCCGAGGTAGAAATGTATGGTTTATACTTTAAATGACATATGCGTTATGTTGACATTATTATTCATCTGCTGCTTGTTAAAGTGGCAATAGACAAGGGTTGACTTACCTTATCATCATAAACTAAATGTTGAATACACAATGTAACGGCTATAGGATGATGACACCATTTGTGTTTGGAGTAGATATGGGTAAAAGCCCCGGGCAAATGTGAGCTCCACTTACGGCACAAATCCAAGGAAAACAGAATGCACTTTGATGTGTTGCCAACTTCACATTAAAGTAGCTAGCACTCGCTCCAAAAGTCATAAGCTCATTTGCATTTTGGTGGAGTTGAGTATTCTCTTTTGCCATTTGAATTAATTCATTGATGGAGAAATAGTCTAGAAAATCTTGAAAAAGGCTAATAAAAAAAGTTTATGTTGACATTTTCAAATAGCTTTGATGTTTTTTTTAACTAGCTGTAAACATATTACAAATAAGAAAAGCAGCATGGCAAATTGTTAATTTCCTGTTGAACAGCTAATGAATTGATCCCGTTGCAGCACCGTATCACACATGCATCATCATGGTGACATTCTTTCCCCCATTTTCCCTCTGTTACAAACAAGCCCTTTCTGCCAGTTTGTGCATGCCGTTGGACATCAGTGTTATGAATGCAGATGAGCTCTGCAGACACTCAACACAAAGACAGCGAGGATCTAAAATAATCTGGGATTAGTTTCACATGGCAGACGTGCAGCAGTTTAGCATTTCAAAGCGATGGCGGTGTCACCTACATGATCGTGTGTTACAGGAGGCCGGGAGCTGCTGCTGCTCCCCTCCGATAGCGCTGCTCTCCCAGGGCAGGCAGCTCTCCTGGGTGCTGTTCCACACACACTGGATCCCGGGCCAGGCCTGACTGCAGGACACCGGGCTGGAGAAGGCGGCGCAGCTGGGCGACGTGTACATGAGGACGTCACTGAGCAACAGGCTGTTGAAGCCTCCGAACACGTACATCACGCTGAAAGATGAAAGAGGGGGAGATGTCAGAAGGCTACAGTGGAAGGTGGTGAGGAGATGTAAGGGATTCAGGAAGTAAGACCACGTGATTTCCGCTTCAATCTTCCCTGGTTTCAACCTTTTGTGCACAGTGAGAGCCAGGGAAGCTTAGGCCGAGTGCTCTTCCTCTTCTCCGGCTTCAGCCTGCCTCACAAGTCTGCTAAATCCCCAACAAGCGCTCTCTTCCTGTGAGGATGGCCCTGACAGACCCCCCTGCTGTGTGTGTGAGTGTATGTGTCTGTACAGGGCATATCTGAACATCTCTCTCCACCGGCCTCTGTTCAGCTGCTGGGATTAGAGTGTGTGTGTGTGTGTGTGTGTGTGTGTGTGTGTGTGTGTGTGTGTGTGTGTGTGTGTGTGTGTGTGTGTGTGTGTGTGTGTGTGTGTGTGTGTGTGTGTGTGTGTGTGTGTGTGTGTGTGTGTGTGTGTGTGTGTGTGTGTGTGTGTCATAGGCAGGGCGGATGGATAATTTGCACCCGTCTGATCAAAAGTCTCGTCGGATCACAGAGGGCAAACTTCAAACCGCTCACTCTGGACATCCTGCTGCGTCTCCCATCAGAAGGAGGAGAATAGAAACGCGTTACATGGAACCAAAACTGATCCGCTTCCTTTCTTCCTAATTTAAAGAGATGGGAGTCTTTGCAAAGAAGCGAAGGACGATTAAGACCATGAACGAATGTAATAAAGTTATAAAAGTTTAAAAAAGACAACACACAGAAAGACCAATGACTACTTGGAAAAACACCAGTAGAGATCTAGAATAATTATTATTTCATAGTAAGCAGAGTAGCAATATTCAAAGATGATAACCTTATTAACTCTAAATGGAAGGATCTTGTAAATGAAATATATGGCATGGAAAAAGTAACAAAGTGAATATCTCTTGGCGAAAGATGGAGAAATAGGTAAGGTATACCATTGGGTTAAGATGGGACAATTTATGTGCACATGAGAATTCACGAGGTATCCTTTAGCTGTTAACTATATCCTATAAATTGATAGATTTTCCTTAGTTAATTTAGTTTTCTTAGTTTTTTCTTCTGACTTATATTATATGTATTATAAATGAAAAAGTATTTCATTTTTGTTTGTGTTTTGGTTTCTTAGTCCCTGTAACAATATAATTTATTAGAATGCAATTATAAAGAAAATAGCTGAATACAGAAAGTGAGGTTTAGAAAACAAAATACATTTTCAAATCAAATTGAGGCCAATGCAAAGAGGGGATTGGAGTAGGTGATGTCTATTACTTTGTAACTTCACCTCCATATTTTATAACATGAGTGCTTTACCTTGAACATTCAAACTAAAACTCCTATGCTTTTGTGTTTGGAAGAACTTTTTAGAGAATATATTGCAAACTATCTTTTGTTGACCAGTTTATTTTTGGACTAAATCTCCATATTTATTTAGGATTCAGGATTAAAGTGACACATACAGGGAACTTGATTTGGTGGAAAATGGTGCATACTTAAAAATGGCAAGAATAATTAAGTTGTAAAATAAAAGCAAATATAGAACTATTATAAAAACAATTGTAAACAATGTTATACAATAAAAAGTTGAAATACGTTTATAAGAAATATTTTCTTTTCAAGCCTTAATGTAAAGTGCTATGACATGTTTTCTTTCCAAAGCCAACATTTTATTTAAATAAAGCTCAACTTAACTTCACTCCAAAGTGTGCCTGAGATTGTGTTGAATCTGAAACGAATCGATGAACCAATGCATGAATGAACTCTTAATTGGTCCTGAGGAGCAGGAGTCGTCAGTGAGGATTGACTCCAACAGGGCTGGTGATTCGTGTTAATATTTGATGCGTTCTCTACAACACCATGTATAATTTAATATGGATCACCGTGTCTTGCTCTGCTGGCGGTGCAGATAATACTTACCGATGAGTCATCCCTTCCGGTCTCAGCACCATCACTTTCACAATCTATTCACATCGCAGGGTAATAATGAAATGTCATGTATGAACGCACAGGGGATTATTTTCCAAGGTAGAAGGTCTTTTTTCTGTCTCTGTCAGTTGGCCTTGGCTCTAAGTGTTTGCTGCCACAGAGTTTACAGTATGTTGGAAATGTTCTTTTTCTTTGTCAACAAAGAATGTGGATTTTTGTGAATATGTTGGGAAACGAGCACCATGCAATTGTTCCCACATTTAGTTTGAATGCTAACAAAAAACAATCATTTGAAACCTTCCGTCTGATCATTACGGTGTTACAATGTGATCGGATCAGTCCTTCAGATATTACCACGTTAGCTAGCCCAGAAGCTTCTTGGAGTGTTTTGTATTTGTAGCGCAAATTAGTAAATGCAGCACATGTTTCGTCAAGTTGGTGAAGATGTTTCTTCAGCTGCATGTTCAAATGTTCAAAGGTTTTAAGGTCATATGTGTTTTGGCACATTCGTGTTTTTATAATTGCACGGTTTCTGGAGTGTTTTGGGCCGTTGTAGCGCGTTTGCACCCGTCAGCCACCGTAGATCGCATGTCTAGTTTGATAAAATGATTCAGAGAGCATCTGGACTGTAACGTGCACAGATAGGTGATCATGAATAAAGAAAGCAAGGAAAGGAACCAAGAAAACTGTAATTTCCCATTAGAAAAACTGAGGAGTCCCTTAATGAAAAACTTAGCGGAATGCATATGGAAAACTACATCCCGGCTCGTATTTACATCAGAGGCAGATATGTACTTAACATGTTCGTTTGTGTGTCATATTCCAGTTGGACATGTCTTTAAATGCCCTGAGTGCATGATTAAATATGAGTTAACCCCAGTGGAAATAAAGGGAGTGACTCTGGTGTACATGCACTCCAGAAACAAGGTCACAGAGAAATCAGGTTGAGGCTGAAAATCTGAGAGCATGCACTGCAGATTTCTCCCATACTAACTCCCTCCCTATTTTATTAAAAAGTAGTAGATTTTTGATGTAAAAGGGACAAATTAAAAGAAGCAAAAGGTGTTGGTGTCTGAGTGTTTTGCCAATGAAAGCCTCCAGAATATCATGTGTTCTTTAGCTTATTTTACAAATCTGTGGGACTCTAAGGGATGAATACCATGCCTTTCATACTCTGTGTATGTGTGTGCAAGTTTTCTTTTGTAGATAAGATCCTGTGTTGTGGTTTTAACCTATTTTGTTTCATTTTGTTCCATTAGTTTAGCCAAAAATACATGTTCCACAGTCTCCATACAGCCTTTCAGTGCAGCTGTTAGCTACTATAAGTGCTGCATAAATGATTACCTGTCACTGATGACGGCAGAGTGTCCGAAGCGATTGACGTCCTGGAAGAGGTCCGGTCGAGGCAGCACTGTCCACTCATCACACGCTGCAATGAGAAGAGGCACGGAGAGGTCAGACTTATGACCTGCTCTCACATATTAAATCATTTGGGTCTTCAGCACTTGGACATTCGGCTGACATGCCATGGGTGGTTAGCGAGACCTTTAACAGCTCGTATCCCCGTGTCAATCAATGAGTCAGCCTGCAGAGTGCCCTTGACCGAGGCACCGGCGGCTGCAGGAGCAACAATCAGGGCGAGAAAATGCAGCCAGGCATGTCTGGCATGTGGAAATAAATACACTCATGAAATATGGTCTCATGTGGGGACTGAATGCAACACAGTGCATGAGGTTATTATCACAGATAGATCACAGCAAGAACTAGTTTCAACTCCCAAAACTGACCTTTTATATATATATATTTTGTCTTACTCCTCCCATGGAATAGCAGAGTGCAGTTTGATTCAGGTTATTCAGGAGTTTTCTTGTAAAAACAGCAGCAAGGATGAAGTTGTTTAGACCACGTGTTTCAAGACTTGTGACCCCCTTAAAAATGGTTAAAGGAGAGGTGTCATGGCCATTTCCACTGATCATAATTCCATTGTTGAGGTCTACTAGAATAGATTTATATTGTGCAATTTTCCAAACTCACATTGGTTTCTCATACAGCATCTCTGTAAACTACGTGTATTCACTGAATTTCACTCTCTGCCTTTAACGGCTCGTTGTAGCTCCCAAAGCTCCAGCCCCCACCCTCCCTGTGAGCACAGTGTGCTCTGATTGGTCGGGACGTTGTGAATCGCGCTGAGCTCCGTGGAGGTGTTGTTTCCTTGTTTAGGATACATAGCGAAACACAGCCAAACTCATTCTGAGCACACACAAGGTCACATCCGAAGTAAAAACAATAAGTGTGGCTTGATATTGAGTAAGAAAAAGGTTGATAAACGCTGTGAGAATGGGTCTGCAGAGAGAATTTCGCCGCGATCCCAACTGTCTGTTATCAGCCTGCAGCCAGGGAGGAGAAATCAGCTGAGCTGCCTGTGTGTGAGGAAGTCCGTGGATTGGTCAATTTGGACCAATCAGCGGGGGCTTAACGTAACGGCTCCGCGGACGTAACGTAACGGCTCCACGGATTGGTCCATTTGGTTCCGGGTACCGCATGACCGTATCGCGTCATAGCTCTGGGCGTGGCTACTGGGTATCCAGACGTCACGATGCCCAGGAAGAACATGAGGAATCTCCAACGAGGCGTTTTGGGGGAGGTCTTTTCTGTGTTAGAGTTTTACTCGCTACAGGGTGTACTTTGAGGGTTTTTGACTCTGCAGACCGTTTACATGCATAAAAACCTTCATAACACACAAGGGGACGGGTAATAACCGGAAAAGCATGACACCTCTCCTTTAAAGCCTCTATGTTGACACACATTTTGTGCACTTCAACAAAAGAGGGAAATGTTCCTCCTATGTGGCATGCAGTAATTCAGAAAGATCAGAAAAGGAGAAAATAATAAAATGTTTCGGAATAGGTAAACACATTTTGGGTTATAGAAATGAGTTGTATCACTGATCCCATTAATTAACTAGGGATCCTTCAGTTGGGGTCCTGATCCCTAGGTTGGGACCTATGGTTGGGACCTTGGACTTAATGCTTAAATTATACATAGCCATTGTTTCAGCAAAAAACAATGCCAAAATACTTACATTTGGCAAGATTTAGCTCAGTTTTACCCGAGACATTGAGATGTTTTGACCTCAATAGCATAAACTCACTGCTTACTGGGTGAAGACATTGATGAATAAGGTGATGAATCCATGTATGGTTGTTGTTTAATGAAGCTGCAGCAGTAGATGACAGTGTTCACCCATCATGATCATGTTCAAACAAAACAAACAACAATAAAGAGTCGTGGCATGTGAGGCTGAAAGTCAAAGCTGCAGGATCCCAGAGCAGCGAGTGCAGTACATCTCCTTCAGTCAGAACAATGCAGTGCAAGTCATCATGCTCACACACAGAAAGACATCTGCAGGAGCTCCACATCCACAGGTAGACACTGTCCCCTGCTGGCACACGCCGGTACTGCAGGTGGTGTATTGCCCGTCAGAGAGGAGATTTATTATGACACCATCCACCAATGTCAGGACGGCGGACAGGGCCTTTAATTCTACGCTCTAATTGAGTTCAGCTCGTTAAGGAGGGGGCGATTAGTCCTGGACGCACAGCCCATCTCTGCTGTAATTACCAGGCAATTACAGAGCGGCTGCTGCTGACACCGACCTGCAGCTGTCAGGTGGGGGGGGCCGGGGTGAGGAAAATACTAGTCTAATAGTCTTTTCTGTCCAATTACAAAATTATACAGAGCAGCAGCAGGGAGAAGAGGTAGAGTGGTGGGAGGGGAGATAAACACAGGTTTGAATTTCTAAAGTTTGACTGAAGTGTCAAATCTCAAGGGAAATCATGAAAACAATTTGTTTCCCGTGGTGACCAGAGTGGGATGAATTAGTCTTATCATGCCAATCATGTGGTAAATGTAAAATTGGGACAATATGCTGAGAATTAAATGAATGTGCTGCTTTCACTGTCATCTTTTCTCCACAGCACTTTTTAATAATAACTTTAAAAAAAAAAGGGCAGTAAGAGAAAAATAAAGAGCTTTTTGAACATCAAAGCATGGAAACATGTCAGAGTAAAGGCACAAAATCCAAATATGAACCTGAAAGTAACATACCAGGGCCCTATAACCTTAGGTACAGTACATGCCTTGCACCATATGTACTTATCTTGGACACGCACTTGCAGTAACATTATATATAAACATATTTTTATATGTTAACAGTTTAAGCTCCAAATGACATTGTTGTTATTTTAAATGTATACAGTAACTTACATATGTTGTACTCCCTTTTCTTATTATTATCCCAGTGTGTACTCTAACCTGCCCTATACTGTTTTCCTTATCTCTTGTTTGCTGTTGCTGCCTTGACACCTGAATTTCCCTGCGGAGATCAATAAAGGTTTGCCTGATTTTATCTCATCGTGTCTTATCTTATCCATGAGCTCCAAAAAGGGACATTTGTCGGGGATATTTCATCCCAACATGCAATTCTCATGAACAAACTAAATCTCATTGCACAGTAAGGGGAGGGGGTGTTTTGGCCTATGAGTTTGTAATTTGGCTGTCTGTCGATCACTTTGGTTATGACACAGAAAAACAGAACGCCCAGGAGGCCGCTTCCCGGCCTGCAGGGACTTCTCCGTCTGCTCCAGACAGACTGAACCTCCCATTAATGAGCAGTTTATGACAGCGCTGCGGAGGGACGCAGACTCAATTTAGAACAATATTTGCGAGCGCCTGACAAAATGAGGATGCTGTTATGGTTTCTGATAAAGCTGTGCTAACTTCTATAAGGACACACCAGAGAGCTTTAAATGGGATTATAATTATAATGCAAAACAAGTGTGCTACAACCTCCTCTTTTGATGGTCATATTTAACCAACGAACACATTTTCTGACCCACACTCTGCTTCACACTGATAAACATGGGGTAACAGTCTCTCTCTCTCTCTCTGCTGTTGAGCGGCTGTGTTAAACAAACTGAGGTTAAGCATGTTGATTAAGGGCACCTTAGCAGTACGGAGAGGTGAGCAAAATAATAAACATCAGAGAGGTCCCCAAAGCAACCAGTGTTAAACCCAGACTGACTAGTTCAGTGTTTCCTTTATTAAGCTCTGATCACTTCATTTATTTATTCGTTCATTCACAGAGGGATCCTCGGGGGGTCCAGTGTGAACTACAGCTGAGGTTAATGCCACAAAATCTGATGCACTTCTTCCCCTCTAGACTTGACCTGACTCTCCTTTACGGTACTAATGTGAAGAAAACACAGACTTCAAGATGTATTAAATGCTAAGTAAACTTCTCCCAGCAGAAAGTGTTTTCAGCAGGAGAGGTAGAAGATTTGAAGGTTTTTTTTTTCTTCTGGAAATCAGAAAGAAGACTACTTTCTTAGAAGTCTTTTCAATTAGGAAATGCCCCCTTTAATTTGTCTTTGAATAATTTGTATGTACATTGTATTATTACATTTTTTTATATTTTCTTGTATTTATTCCTTGTGTCTTATGTATTTCTTACTTTACTGAGTGGACTAACTATTGTGAACTGTTGCACTTCTTATTTTTATATTATTTTAATTATATTTTTTTATGATTTATCTTGCTTATTCCAGCTCTTACATTTTATTATTATTAATATTATTATTAATTATTATTATGTGGACATCTCTTCCAAAAGCATAGGTATTTCCGAGCTATACAGTCATTCATTGTATTATTGCTCTTCATAGCTTGTATGTTTTCATTTCAATGTGTTTTACATATGACACACGGCAGCTGTGACTCAGTCAGTCTACATATTGAAGTGGCTGAAATGAACCATAAACTGCTCCTAATGGCTGTTCATTATGTGTGTGAATGTTTATCACTCATGATTAACAGACGAATGGTAGCATCTGCCTCCAGTGTATGAAAGTGTGTGTGAATGGGTGATTGCTGGCATGTGTTGTTAAGCAGTTTGAGTGGTCGCTAAGGCTAGAAAGATGTTATATAAATGCAGCCATTCATTATTTTTGTGTAGCTTTTTATCCTCTGTATCATCTTAGATTTTTACTAAACACATCGCACATTGAGTCCAGACTCTAACCAGAGGTTTGTTATATGCCACAAGATGACCATTTAACTAAAGGAGCTAATCCAGACCACCAAAAGTTTGTGAACAGGGTTGACAACATCAGTTTGACCATCTTGCTTCTCTTACCGAGGTGTCAAAACCCTCTAAGTTGGTAACAAATAAGACGTAGGATAGTCTGTTAACCACAGCCTTAGAGAGCAACAAGCAGCACTGTGACCATAAAGTCACACACAGGGGGACAAACACCAAACCACACAGACTGTTCAATCTGCAAAATACAGAACTGAAACAAGGAGCTTATGACGCACTTAACATCAAAAGGGGCCGGGTGTTGGTTACCATGTTGTAATTATAGCAGGATGCGCTTACACATTCTGCACATCACTTTGTTTACATGAGATCTCAACCTCTGAGGAGTTACATCCACTTTGTTTACAGCCACTGGCAGTCAGGAGGGAACGAAACAGAAACGATTCAGATCAATAGAAAAATGACTTGAAATCCAGTCAGTGATTAGGATTAAATATACTCCAGACAGCGAGGGCTGGCAGCCATCATAACAGCATTAATATGCACATTAATAAGCCACTGAGTAATTTCCAAGAGCACAATATTCCTCACTTCCTCTATCAGGAAAGGTTAGTCTGGCTTAACATGCAACACCACACTGCACTGCTGTAAAATGTAAGACCACGTTATTCTAATATTTAGCATGAGATGTGTTTGTGGTTTACCGCCTGTGTACATCGAGCAGTGACGTTTGACCTTCTCTTACTTCAGTCGAGCCGCTCAGTGTGCAACAACAAAACACTGCGGTCTCACTGAGCAGCTCCCAGGTGTGTGTCAGTGAGTGTTTATGAATGCAAAGCAGCTCAATGCAGAGGGAAGAAGATGATGCATGCTTAGCAGGAAAAAAGCCTGAGTGAAGCTGAAAATACAGACTGCGCTGTGTGTGTGTGTGTGTGTGTGTGTGTGTGTGTGAGAATGTGTATGTGTATGTGTATGTGTGTGTGTGTGTGTGTGTGTGTGTGTACAGGGCATATCTGAACATCTCTCTCCACCGGCCTCTGTTCCGCTGCTGGGATTAGTGTGTGACTGTGACTGTGTATGAGTATGTGAATGTGTATGAGTGTGTGCGTGTGTGCGTGCGTGCGTGTGTTACTGACCCAGACTGTAGGACAGGAATTCGGAGGAGAAGCACTTGGCTCCGTGGCTCATGGATGTGTCGTTGTGTGTGTTTCCTCCAAACACCAGCATGGTCCCGCTCACCATCACCGCTGTGTGCAGGTAGCGGAAGAAGCCGCTGTCTCTCAGAATGGTCCTGCAAACACAGTGATGGTTTTTATAGATGAGCATTTACATCTAATGTGGCAATCTTGACATGCTACTGTTGGGACCAAAGAGAGATCAACACTGCTGAGGTTTTCCTATTATTGCAATTACACACCTCTCTGTAGAAAAGGTCATAGAGCTGACCTCCTGTTTACCCTCGTTTGCCATTCACAAGATGTAATGATCGCTTTGTATTCGTTTTAACAGCAGAATTCATTGCACAAAACAATTCATGTTCTGTATTCTGCTCAGTATTCACAGTACATATCCCTGATATCATTAAGGTTAATGCTTATTGCAAGGCATACAGATTCATTGCAACAGGTGTAAGACATCTCCCAGAATATGTATCCCTATTTTACAATCGTTACAAATGAATTGCATTAACCCACGGTTGCATTTGATTTCAAGTGTATCGAAGAAGTGGTTATGTTATGTAAAAAAGGGTTTATTGTATTCATATTCTGTAACAGACTTAGTAATTGTGATTTAATGTCATATGTTTTCCAGGATTACGGTCTTTTCTTTTTATAACACATGGTGGTTGATAGAGAACACAAATCAATCAGATGCAGTGAGAGTTATTTTGCCTTGAATGTGGGATTTAAGTGTAAAGTGCAGACAGTCTGTTTTTTTTATAGCAATACAGCCAATTAGCTAAATGAAGGCCTTCAAAAGTTATTTAAAATACTGACAACTTGTATAAAGTACACCTTATGTTCCATGTTGCTGTTTGTACAACCTTGAGAAAATTACAAGTGCAGACTGTTTTGATAAGAGATAGTTACCGCTTGAAAATGATTTTATTTTCAAATTGAACAGATGCTGATATGTTTTGATTTGACATTGTAAGGTTATGAGCCCAATTTCTTTTTTTTATTAATGATTTTGCATTATTATTGTTGAAAAAATGACACAATTTGACTTAAACATATTGTATAATCTCAAACATAACCTAAATCATACATCTTTGTTTCTTGCAGCAGTCATTTTCTTACTTGACTCAATAAGAAGTGCTGTCTGTTTGCTAAACTTTGATTACAAATTGATCAATAATAGTAATTTTCTATCTTTTTAAAGAATCATTTCAGAGGCCTGAGTAGGTAGAAAGTATGCTGCATTTGAGAAGAAAAAACCACAACAGTAAACCTCAACGATTGCACACTTGAACATCATAATGCATCAGAATACACTGTACAACAATCGTGTGTACTTTACTGTGTAATCAATATAAATGTGCACCAAAAAGAGACCCTCACCATTTCATCTTGTCCACCTCGAACTTGTACAGGTCTCCAGCCAGCCCGTACTTGTTGGCGCTGAAGGCCTTGTAGCCTCCGTGGGTGTAGATGGCTCTGGAGCTGGGGTCGAACGCGCTGCTGTGGCCGTACCCCCCCTGCACCAGGGCCCCATCCGTCGCCACCATGCTCCATGTGTTCCTCACTGGAGGGTCACAGAAACAACATTTTACTGAGCCACTGACAACTAGCTTCATTATCATTCATAATACAATGAAATACAAATAAGCAAGAGAAGGGAAACTATATAGTTAGGTCTTTGTGCAGAATCGAGGTTGTGGTCCCAGAGGGGATGTGCTGGAAGTAATTACAGCTTTACTGAGTTTACACAGCGTTTTATGAGTGGAGGAGAGAAAAGCCGATAACAATCTTGTATTATTGTTCATAAAATGCATTAAAAAAAGCATCAGACTGCCTGCAGATTTGACTGGTCATCATTCAAGAATTGTTCATAAAAGAGTCACTTTTTTGTGTGTGGAAATTGGACATGCACATCCCATTGTCTTACATAGACTGGCTTTTACAAGACTAGACACATCCTAATTAAGACTGGCTTTACGACTTTTGGTGGCTGAAAGAAAAACACGATCCCAGTCCAAAGTCCGTCCATTTTTATCTCGGTGGTCAGTGTTAATTTCCTGTTAACATATAGCTAATCAGTGGTCTAAAATGGAGCAACTGACACAAACCTAATTTACAACAGGATAAAAAAGGTATACTGATTCTAATATAGCAATTTACCTTTATTTGCATCATTTATTTTGTACAGACTGCTGATAGATGTGTTTATAACTGACTGTTTGCACTCTGGTTAGACCCTCCTAATTTCGTTACACTCTGCTTACATTATGTAATGACAATAAAGTAATAATTTTACCATTTACAGCTCAAATGCACCCTTGCTTAGAGATGGTACTTACAGAAATAATGTGTCATAATGTTTAAACGCCAACAAGCATTATGCCATCACACAGTGCACTTCTATATGTGCAGAGAGTTTATGAGCTTTCAATGCATTTTCATGGGGTTGGGATTGGTCACAAGTAGGGAGGTACAAGGTAGTCTCTCCCACTTCAGCACCTACAGCTTACCGATGTTGTACTCCTGCACCTGGTTGATGTATCCGTACAGAGGACAGTGTCCGAACAGGACCAGCATGATGGGACTGTCCTCCTCCTGGAGGGGAGGCACGATGTGGGCCGAGTGTCCTACCACGGGGTACTGATCCTTGGCCCGCGGGCTCAGCAGGACCCAGGTCTGGTTCTGGATGTGGAAAACCCACAGCTGGCTGGACACGTTTCCTGTGGAGTCGATCTTTCCTCCGTACATGTAGATCCTCCCCTGGTAGAAACAGAAAGCAAGGCAGCGTAAGATCATACAGTATATAACGGGAGGTCCTTTCTAAAACTAAATATGGTGAAATGCATTCAACCTAAAACACACATCAGAGTTAGAAAGGGGTCTTTTGTAATCCTAGGTCCAATTTGCTATAGCCACAAACACTGAAAATTCTTAGTACCAATATTGTAAGATTTTACCTCATAACTAACTTGTCAAGGTTGCGTTGTTTTGAAGCAGTGTTGCAATAAAAAAAAAATGTATTCAACGGCTCAAAACACAATATTGACTAAACCAAAGCCTGGCACAGTTACACTATTGTGATCAGGAATCATCCATCTATTGAAGTATTACCATGAAACTCAAACAAAGCACAAGGGATTTTCATAGAAAAGAAAATCAACCTTGGGCACCAATAACCTTCAATCCCTTTCTTATAATAACGCCAGTTCATTTGCATCATTTCCTGGACCTTGTTTCCGAAAGAGAAAAACATTCCCCACTTCAAGACCTGAAGAGTTTCTGGAGGTCAGACAGAATGACGTCTCAGGATATTAAGAGTCGGGCAATTGTCCATTCATTATATATTAGAAAGAACAAAGTGTAGACTTGGTTCCTATAAAAAAGTGCCATGTGATTTGGCAATATAAATGTAATTAAAAGTACACGTGGGTACAAAGTACTCATCCCCATGACAATATAAGAGCGAGTAATTGCAGATCCTATTGAACAAAGAAACTCATCGAAACAGAGGGTACTTGATGTTGTTGAAGCAGCAGTTCCAATTTAGTTTGGTAGCTTCAAAATCAATTTAATTAATTCTGAACGTGTATTGAGGATTATACAACAAGGAAAGGGCCCTATTTTATTATACAAGTGGAACAATCGTTAAACTAAGAATATTTTTAAGCGATAATGCAACATACTGTATTTCTACTCAAAACGTTCTCAACAAAAAGTGGTTTTATGTGATCCAGGCATGACAGACGAGTTATAGCATGTTCTGCCTTTGATAAAGCGATCATAGTGTGTTTGCTTGGAGCAGAGTTGGCACATTATCTGTGTCTGTGAGACTTCCATCACTTCGATCTGTAATGCATCAAAACTGATTTGATGCTGTTGTATTTGTTGTAAAAGTGTCTTCATTGTAGGGTATTTTTATTGTATGTACAGCACTTTGGCTCGACCAAAAATCGTTTTAAAAATGTGCTATATAAATAAAACTTGATTTGATTTGATTTCAGATTTGTTTTGCAAGCTCACACCGACTTCCAAGACGCATTCACACACCGTGATGCAACGTGTGCATCAACAATCGCTCTGCAGCCCTGAATCCTCCACTCGCTAATTTATTATTCCATCAGCGGCTCCTAACAGTCTTTCTGGCTGAGAACAAACTGCTTCACCACTTCACTGCAGCATATCAGAACCCAGAGATTTATATATTAGTTCCAGACAGCAAACAGACTACTGAAAGCACACATCAAAGGAACAGGAGTCTATAATGTTTCTGCTAGCTCCTCCATGTAATTCAGTTGTCATCTGTTCTGTTTTCCATCTCTTTTGAAAACCTTTTTATGTCACACTGAGATGGGCTTCAGATGCATGCAGAAAGCTTTATAATAATAGAGCGATGTAGTCATGCTGTCTGAATGTATATCCAGGTTCACGGTAGATGTCATTTCTCGCTCCACATACCTCATGAAGAGCCAGAGAGTGGCCGTATCGCGGCGTCACAGTGTTGACGGAGGGGTCCAGGGTCAGCCAGCTCTTGCTACTGAGGTTATACCTGCGGAGAGAAAACAGAAAGGTGAGGAGACCATGACAGAGCAGCTTTAAGAAACTACTCGAGGAGGATTTTAACAAATGTATGAGTACAAGAATCAGAATCCAATTAACTGCCAATTAGATTTTTACATAATAAAATAATAATTTGTTCCTAACATAAACTATTAAACGGGATACAATTAAAATACATGATTAGATATGAGAAGTGGTCGTTTCGCTTGATCAATTAAAATACATGATTAGATATGAGAAGTGGTCGTTTCGCTTGATCAATTAAAATACATGATTAGATATGAGAAGTGGTCGTTTCGCTTGATCAATTGAAATGTGACAAAGACAAGGTGAACCAGCCCGTGGGGAAACATGGTTTGAAATGGAAACCCATAGATTTTTGGACATAAATGATGTTGGACCCTCTTCATTCCCCCTTTTAAAGTCAGTGAGATGAAGGTGGCAATTGCATAATGTGGGGCAGTCCTTTGGACATTATAATAGGTTTACCTTCCACAGAAGCTTTATTTATTTGATATCACACAAACATCTATCTTGTCAGACTTTAAGTAAAGTGTTTACGTGCCGCCAGCTGGTGACTGGAACAAGCAGCGCCCCGCTAGGAGCTACTGGGTGGTTTGTGTGTGTGTGATGGGACACATGGAGGCGACATTCAAAACAAACAATAGTGGTTTCTAAAAAGGTTTGTGTAGATTCTGCAATAGTATATCGGATCTTGAGAGTTCATTCATGAATGTGTTCATTTATAGAAAAGCAAAGTGCCACAATGAAGGCTTTTCTTGATGAAAAAGAAGATGTTTGGATTTTTTTTCAACTGGTTTTGGATAGTCTTATTGACAGATGATTAATTATATCACATGCAAAGCTTTTCCCTGAAAGTGCCTGCCTTCTTTCAAAACAGTTTCTAAAGACTGCTTCTCAGAGGGTTCTATGGAACCAACATCTGCGTCAGGTTAATTAAATATGGTTTGAAACATGGATTATAGTGCTCCGAGTATACTCATCGGCTATTCATAGGCAAACCACAGGTAGGACATTTTAAAAATTGCACACAAAATGAACCATCCCAAAAGAAACCTTCAACAGCAATGAGCAAGCACTCTCCATTGAGACTTGTTGATGACTCCAGATTTAAATGTACCAAACATACATGAGAGTTGAATCAATCTTCTTGGAGTTTGGCCAGTGCATCTTGATGTGTTTTGCTTATCTTTCTTATCCAAAGTGGCATACAACAAGGACTGTAGTAAATAAATAAATAAAAGTTAGTTTACAATGTGAGCCACTCCAAAGTACAACGGCTTCCATCGTATGAGCGCTGTTAAACCTGCCAAACATAGTACTTATCACAAGTGACATGCAAATCATACGGTTTGGTTTTGACAGACTATGAAACCATTGCTCTGGAAATACTTGCAGCTTTATCAGCATGTACATCGAGGAGCAGAATATTTGCATTTGTCAAATCCAACTATGTCAAGGTGACAACCCAAGTATTAGTTTGGAGTTGGCAGAATGCTTCGATAGAGTCTCACATGATAGATGTGAGGAGAAATAAAAAGTGCAGCAGCCTGCCTCTTAAAACCATAAAACCAAAATATGAGCCAGGGGGAAAATAGTGATCATCCTGGGTGGAGTTCAGGGTGAGGAGCAGCAGCTGTAATTTTATGGCTTTAATAACATCCTTCACTCTTGCAGAGCAGTGTTCTTCTCCTTGTTAAATGTTTAACAGACAGCGCTGTCTGGAAGAATCTGGGACTTCCTGACAGCCCAGTAATACTTAAGAACTATAACAGACATAGAAGTACAAAAAAATTGGTTTTGCGAAAAGAGAAAATGTATTTCGACATCTCGTTCCCCTACAGTCGCATAGCAACAGCAGGACGAGAGCAGCAGCCAAAACGCCTGAAATGCAACTCCAGATGCTCACTGGGGAGAGTACTTACGCTTTGACCACGTGATAGTCGGAGGCGTTGAAGACGTAGCCTCCGATGACCCACATGATGCCCTGGTCCACCACAGCCTTGTGGGAAGCCTTGGCCAGCCCGGGGTCGGTGTACTCCTCCCGGGTGCAGAAGGAGGAGTTGGCCGGTACCGAGACCAAACAGTTTGGACCTGAGGAGCGAAGAAAATCTAACAGTCAGGGCTGCACGAAGAAGGAAATCATGCAGAAAGCTCACATCATACATTTTTCTTATGCCCCAGCTCTTTAATAAAACATGAGACTAAATACCTACAAAATAAATCAGTATTAAAACAGTGTTTGGACAAAGTTTCTGCATTAAGGAGGATTCAACTTCAGACTTGCAGCCAGACCGTGATACATTAATGTGTATATAAATATGTCTCCATATCGAATAAACACATTTATCTAAGTCTGCACGAATCACCCTTTCTATGAACTTCACTTCAGCACGTACAGTATTGTGTAATTTGGATACATTTCCAATTTCTGAAGAATTGCAACATGATGAAAACTAAGCTGCAAAAAGTACCTTTATATAACGTTTTCTTTCCTTTTCTGGGAAATAAGTAGTCATGCCGTCTCCCCTCATTTCTGAAGAACAGCACCATAGTTTGTATGATAACGAAATAAAAAGTTGTAGCTTGTATTGTCTGTGAATATATATATCATATACTACCAGAGACGTATTTTGTATGTTTGGCTTTTACTGCAGTTAAGGCGCTTTGAATGCATTGGCTCCAGTTTCCAGTATTTTTCTTAAGTAATCAAGACATTTCTACACATGTGTTATCAAGCTTCAGGTGACACTACAAGAGAGGATACGATCTGTTTTGTTTGGATGCTGGGGAAAAAACAGGATCTATTATTGATGTCTCTTCAATTATGAAGGTGAGAGGTGAAAGGAAAGGTCAGAGAGGTTAAACCAGTGGTTCTCAAACTTTTTCTGTCAGGCCGCACCTTTGAAAAAAAAAAAAAGTCGGGGCCCCCCCAACACAAATAGTCACGTAATGGGCCAAGTTAACATTTAAATACATCAATATGAACGTGAGCATTCCTTTCAAAAAAATAAAAAAATCATTTTTGCTAGATCAGTGATAATAGAACAATGCTCCATAATTCTGTGTGGTCGAAAAAATAAATACATAATACAATTGTGCAATCCCTTTGCTAGAACAATAAGTTATAATACTTTGCAATCTGTGCAAAAAAATGAAAAGAAAGAAAATGCTGATATTTGGCAAAAAAGTGTGTCTTATCAAAACGGGGTTGCAGGCTCAGTGGCGGCGCCATAGATTTATTTTGGGGGTGCTGTGGTGTAGCTTGACATTTCTGATACCCCATTCACACCAACGGTGTTTCAGGGCCGGTTCGGAGCTGGAGCTTGAAAAGCACCGGGTTTTCCTGTTCACACCGCAGCGGAGCAGCCTCTAAGCTCCGGAATCCGGTTCGTTTCGAGCACCAAAAAGTTGTCCGTCTAGAAGCAAGAACCGCATACGTCACGCTTACGTCGGAGGGGGGCGAGATTAACCTGAGCTAACAGTTAAGGCGAGTACGGCAAATAAAAGTTGTAACAAGCAGTAGTGCTGAGCAAAGTGACTAGAACGCAACCACACACTTGTAAAAAAAAAAACACGCTTTATAAAGTCAGGCAACACTAACCAGGCCCCCCCACTTTGAGAAACACTGGGTTAAACAAACATTTACTGAGAAGTATTACGTAACATAAGAGTCCTTTATCATTAAAAATGTCGTTTTAAATGGCAGATTATCCACTATGTAGAGAAAACTGGATGCATTACAGAACCTTTGTGTTGGAGAGATTTGGTCTTCCCTGTTACGGGACAAGAACAATGAAAGCAGCATAAACCGGAATTATTTCTCAATAAAAGGAAAAGACTGGGACGCTTTTTGGCAACAATTGCCGAGTCATAAATAGAAAGACTGGCCTGGCGATGTTTGAATTGTTTTTTGATGCAGTTTTGGGGCAGATTTGTCGATTTTGTTTATCTACAGTCCTACATGATGAAAGACACCAATACAGCTCTTCCTGGTATAAAACATGTACAGACGAATTGGAGCTATCACTCCATCTCAGAGCAGAAACAGGATGTCTGAGCGCTGGGGGAGTTCCCATTTGATCATTATCCGGACAATGGCCATGTGACAGGAAAGGAAGTGTTATGATTCTCAAAGACAATCAAGCTCACTGAACCCATTCTCCTTTTTGTTTTTGTTGGGCTGAAAGCTATTCCCTAATGGCCAATATTCCTCCAGGAGCACTAGGCAAACTAAATTACCTTTGCAACTTGGTGGCATTTCCATAAATAAAACAAATGTGGCCTTTGCTTCCCTTAAAGACGCAATTTGTTGAAGGCTACGCATCTGTGAAAGAGATTAAACGCACGGCTGGCCTGACTAAACAGGCATCTGTCTGCTTTTGCACAGCTTGGTGTAGAACATGAGTGCATCTGGGAGCCGGCAGCACAGCGTTCACTAAGTGTGCTACTGCTCGGCTAACATACCATGACGGGGTAATAAAGGCTAAAGAAAATGCAGGTCTGTTTCGCAACTCCCTCAGCTTTAGTAATTAGATTGTGAGCATGCTGAGCCACTGATATAACTGCAGTTAAATTAAGCTGTTGTCTCGGCACAGAGGAGCCATTTAAGAACAAATAGAGCTGTTGGAGCGCCCATATGGTCAGATTCAAAAAAGGATCCACTAGTGTTAGGTCATCATCAAATAAAACTTTAAAGGTCCGATGTCATGCTTTTCCGGTTATTACCCATCCCCTTGTGTGTTATGAAGGTTTTTATGCATGTAAACGGTCTGCAGAGTCAAAAACCCTCAAAGTACACCCTGTAGGGAGTAAAACTCTAACACAGAAAAGACCTCCCCAAAACACCTCGTTGGAGATTTCTCATTTTCCATTGTTTACTTCCTGGGTACTGTGACGTGTGAATACCCAGAGGCCGTACCCTCTGCCAGCCTTTCACGAAACAAAGCTTCCCAAACCTTTCAGCGATTCATGCCGGATATGTACAGCGTAGGGCACTGAAGAACGATGCTGTTCCTACTTTGTTTGGACCAGCGGGAGATTCGGGTACACAACCTGTAAGTATTCATTGTTGTTTGTGTATTTATGATGTTTAAAACAAACAAGGTATCTACCACGACTGTTTAAATGGGTAAACGTTTTTCGGGCTACTACGTTGGGATCGCGGAGAAATGCTCTCCGCAAACCCATTCTCACAGCGTTATAAACCTTTTTCTTACTCAATATCAAGCCACACTTATTGTTTTTACTTCGGCTGTGAGTGTTTGTGTGTGCTCAGGATGAGTTTAGCTTGTTCTCGCAGCAATCTCGCAGCAACGAGCCTCAACGTCGCGACCAATCAGAGCACACTGGGCTCACAGGGAGGGGGGGGCAGGAGCTCCAACAAGCCGTTTAGGACAGAGAGTGAATACCTGGTGAATACACATACTATACAGAGATGCTGTATGAGAAACCAATGTGAGTTTGGAAAATTGCACAATTTAAATCTATTTTAGTAGACCTCAACAATGGAATTATGATCAGTAGAAATGGCCATGACATGGGGAAGCTGGTCCTGCAAAAAGTTCATCAGGTTGCAGCAGAAGGAGGTTGCGGGTTCAGCGGGAGCTTCGATAATAGTGATGGAGGCTTAAAGCTGAAGAGGCACTGGGTTGAATCACCAGATAAACAGGCAACAACTAAAGTCAGTAACGCTCTCTTTATTAAACATCAAACTGCTGCTCAGCTGCTCTGGATATTTACCCTCACCTTTCCTGGTTACGTTCTGAAAAAGAATAGCAGGAAGTTTGGAATGATTTAAAGAGGCCATATTATGCTTTTTGGGGTTTTCACTTTCCAGTAGTAGTAGAGTTTTTTTCATTTAGTCTTCAGTTCTTCGTCTTTTAGGGCTGGGCGATATAAAACATTATAATATTATGGTATGTTTTATCAAATACCTTAATATTGATATTTCAACAACATTGTAGCATAGACTATTTGTTCTTCAACAATATATTTATGTAATACGATTTTGGATCAATATTAATCAGTAATGTGGATTTAAGGGCGAAGTGGGTAAAGGCAAATAACAGAACTAATACAACTGATCTAAAAACAGTTTGATATGGTTTGAAAATGACTTCACTTTACTATAATGCAGCCTTTCAAGAAAGGGAAAGACGAAACCTATGCGATATTACGGTGTCAGTTATTTAAGACAAAATCTAGTCTTGATAAAATAATGACTTATTGCCCAGCCATATATTCTTTACCACTGCAAGCAAAACATCTGCTCTGTGAAATAGTATTGAAAATAGTTAGAGGGCTTACTCCACTGTTGGCTGTTATAAGTGCATTTTGACAGCTAAATGTATGATGTTCCCCCCTCAAGAGCCGACTCACTGTTCATTCTGTACAGAGAACATAGAGGCAGTACAGTAAGAAGCTTATTTGAGTCACAGAGGACGGTTTGGCATGAGTGGACCTGATGAAGCAAACCCAATGACATTGTTAAAAGCAGCGCAGTGTGTGAGACAATGAGGTCACATCTCTGGCATTCGGAGAGTTTCTGCTGCAGTGTGGGCCCACCTTGCCATCCGGTGTTGCAGACGCACACCTTGCCCTGGCATTGACCTCTCTCGGGGAAGCCACAGTCTGCCAGGCAGTACGGGACGTCACAGGCAGCCCCCTTCCAGTTGTCTTCACAGTCACAGTACACCGCGCCCGTAGAGTTGTTCATCAGACACTCGCCGCGGCCGGAGCAGTTGTTGGGACATGAATTCACCCTGGGAGGAGGGAGGGGAGAAAGACACAGAGAGGGTGAGAATTCCTGAGTGAAATACACACTCTGAATAAAACATCAGGCACACATTTCAGCGGCTGGGTTACATCTGCTTTTGTGCAGGCAGTTCCTCAGCTGTCTGCAGGCTTAAAGCCCTCAAGTCAGCAGAAGGACTTGCTACTGGCATCTTCCTCTCTCATCAGTCGGTCGAGCGCCTGCCTCGACACTTGTCATTCATCTCAGAGGGATCGCCTGCACTAAAAACAGCGTTGAGCTCGAGGTAACCGGCAGACATAAAGTCACCGCCGGCACAGGAGAGCAGATGGTAAACTCCCCTGAACTCCAGTGAAACGGCAATGCTGACGCTCTCCGTGTCTCTCAACATGACCTTTACGTTTGTGCATAATGAGCTCATCTGTTTGCACCCAAGGGACACATTTTGTGCCAAACAAATCAAACACATCAGGACATACAAACATCATTAAACTACAGCTGGAATCAGCTAAACACGCTTTTTCCAGTGACAGGATATCTGTATATCTTGTTGTTTTTTGTAAATAAACATCTGTACATTTGTTAAGAAATCCTAACAGGGTTCCCACACCTTCTTTCACATCAAATTCAAGGACTTAACGCATTTCTAGGCCAAATTCCCTCAAATTAAATGACCTAACACAGCATAGTTTGAGATACAGCTCAAGGTTAATTACTGTTACAAGAACAACAATAAAAAGCGGGCGAGACCTGAATGTGGAACAGTGAAGCAGACTATAAAAGGTATACTGCCTTTTCAACAACACATCAAAACAAGTTAAAGGGGACCTATCATGCAAAATGCGCTTTTGTACGTCTTTTATACATGAATACGTGTCCCCGGTGTGTCAGGGAACTCACCAAGTGTCAGAAAACACAACCCTCTCTTTTCCTCCATACCCAAATCTCTAAAAACGGGACTGCAACGGAGCCGATACAGATTTGAATTGTTCTGACGTCAGAAAAGGGGTGCTCCGCCTATATGGGCAACTCTCCACCTATCAGGGGAATGGGGGGTTGGGCCACGGCCATTGCCGCTCGAAAGCGCTGGAGACGCTGTAGTACATATGCCAGGCCTGTAAGTGGCGCTGTAGTCTGTCACAAAAGCAGCGAAGAAGACTTCTCACAGAATCAGCCCTTGCAAAAACAGGGCTGGAAAAGAGCAAATAGAGTGAAATGAGGTATGGCTAAAATGCATGATCTGTTTGGTATTTTGAAAAAAAAACTTCACAGACATGTTTTATATAGGTATGGCCCTACAATATATTATTCAAATATAGCATGATAGGTCCACTTTAAACAAAATATCAGAAGAACTTTCATTTGTATTCTTCCTAAATGAGCAAAGTCCGTTTACAAACATTTTCAAGGCATGGTTTAGTTTCCCCTTCACATTTACAAACGATCAAGAATGTCAAAGACCTGTGAGTCACATGACATGAAAAGATAACTGATGATTATCTCACAATGATCACATTTTGGTATCTTTGTATCAGCCCAAACAGGAACAGAGAGGGTGACTCTGTTCCTGTTTGGGTTTGACTTTCCGTGGTGCAGAAGTTAAAAATTCACAAAATCCTCCACAGAATTGTTTTTGTTTAAAATGGATAATCACGGTTCAGGTGTAGCCCACAATTAACTTTAGCTGGCCAAATCCCATACTACAAATGTAGGCAGATATTGAGTTCACATTAGAAAAGGTATGAAAATATTTGATTTTCAGCAGTGACTATGCCATGAACCTGCAAAATAAGGGAGACCAAACTATGCAAAAATAGCCAAATGTTTAAAAATGTCTCCAATTTAAAAGCAATTTCAGGTACATTATGTACACTTAAATAACATATACAAATCATAAAATTAAATGATTTATGTTAAAAGGAAAAGGTTTAGTATTATTCTATATTTTCTTATTGTTAATCCATCCCATAAAAAGACCAAAACCAACAACATGTGAGCCCATCTGTCAGTGTTTAGGTAAATGGACTTTCCTCTCGGCACTAAGCCCATTGGTTCCTACTGACTCGTTAAAAATAGGTCACAAATACACTGTATACTTTAATTAAAAAAAAAAAAGAGCTGTGTAATTTTCTAAAATGCCTGGGCGCTACAGATTTGATCAAACACTACTCACACAGGATTAATCCACATTGGGGCTTTAGTGAGCACTTACAGAAGCAGCACCCTGTATGTTGAATAAGAATAAGCGTCCATTGTTTTGATTTAATAGTTTGTGTACAACAATAGCAGAGGGGAAGAAGATATATAAATCAATCAATTGTTATTAATAGAGCACTTTTCATACACAAAAGGTAACACAAAGAGCTTCACAAAAAAACAAAGAATTCCAACCGGCCCCCTGAGAATAATATTCAACGACAGAACTCAATAAACACTGGACTGAATAAAACAAGCCTTAATTGAAAGCCAAACTAAAAGGAGGGTATTGAGCCACATCAGGCACTGGATACTTGAACAGCTCTCATTATTTTGGTTTTGGTCTTTTTATGACATCTGCGAACCGTAAAAGAAACAAAGAATATTGCCAGACTTACCTTTAACTATGGAAAACACTGCAAACTGTGTACACGACAATGTGTTTTATAACAAGAGTAAACAAGTCGATGTCAAAGGTTTAGCAGTAACTCGGATGATTATCCATTAGAGTGAGACTGAAGAGGGATGTTTGTCTTCGGGAGGGAGAGGGAAATGTTTTGTGAGCGAGACAGACGGCAAATAAAAGGCCCTCGTCATTCTTTCATGTTCCTTGGAAAGCCTCGTGGTTTGATGTTTCCGTTCCTCCACCTCTCTGAGACACCAAAGACCGGGGGGGCACCGCGCTTTCATCCGACTGTGTTTCTCAACCCAACTTCAATCCCATCGCCATGGTGACTGGACCAGTGAGCTGGGAAAAACTCAGGGGCCCATTGTGTCCTTTTCAGACGTTGGGAACGGACAAGCTTCAATTTGAATTTAGAAGACGTTTCCCTTTATGCCAGCTTGGGGAAAACCGCATTTGTGTCTCTTTATGACTTGAAGTTTAGTTTCATCTGTCTATTTGTGTGTGCACAGGTATATGGTTGTTTAGCAGATTCAAGTTATAAGAATATATGAGTTTGGGTGAGTGTTTGCTGTGAATACATGGGAATTCATTGATTGTCTGTGTTCATCCCATTGCATTTTCCCTGCTCACTCATCTGTAAAAGGAGTTTCTTGCTGTCATGAAGTAAAAAATGGATACTGAAAAGCTGATGTCAAGTACACACCTATGGGAATTGAAAGCTCAAAAGAAAAGAGGACATCATGTAGAAATGAACAACACATGGGGGGAGTTAAGCTGCACTTTTTTTGCTGGTGTTTTGGTCATTAATCCTAGGTTTAAAAATAATCAGCATGAAGGGAAAAAGTGCAAATAAATGTAATCTTGACCTTAAAGGTGGGGTAGGTAATTTTGGAAAAACCAGCTCGAGTGCGCTAGAATTTGAAAATACACAGCCGGAAGAAATCTGCTACTTCCTTACAGAGCCCCTCCTCCAACACACACGAACGCGCACATGACCAATGAGGGCACGAGATAAGTTTGTGCACAGATGGAAGGCTGACAGGCAGGTAGGCCATCCAGTTATTTTAGCCGGGCCGGTTAAAATGATTGGTCGTGCTTTTTACAGTACTACGGCTTCCACAGATGAAATGTTTTTATGGATTTTTTGTCAAAGCACTTAAGATATTCATTGCTATCGGGATGTTAAGAGCATTCCATGGAATATAACAAAAAGTGTATCTCGAGCCGGTTTCTCAAACTTACCTACCCCACCTTTAAATGGACCTGAAGAATATATGAAATAACAACTATTTTTATCCCACATCATTTATAGAATATATATATTGTAATGCTCAGTCTGAATGTGTATGGTTCATGTTTTATTTTATTTTAAATAATGCAATTTCACACATTTTTCATCTTACATTTTAGTGTCTGGTTTTCCCACTTTTTTTATGCAACTTGAACGTTTCTGACTATTTTAAAATTAGGAACATTTGAATTGTAAATGTCAATTTAAGCACAATAAAACATTTGAGAAACCTTTCCATTATAATGTTCCAATTATATAAATCTTTCTCCCTTACATTTTTAATATTAAGGATATATTATATATCCAATAAAAATGAGTCAATGTTTATTTACCAGTATAATGTGTATTAGCTAATAATCTGAATCAATAAAGCAACTAGTAACTAGAGCTGCATGATAAATGCAGTAAAGTAAAAAGTATTATACAGGGTTCCAAAATGTAGAGCAGTAGAAATTAAGTAGCATAAAAAGTACTTTAAAAATGTATTTAAGTACAGTCCTTACACAAATATACTTCATTACATTCCACCACTGTGTTAAACTAGTTATTGGCCTATGTTTGCTTCCATGTGGTTTATCTTGGCATTGTGAAGTGATGCATAAGAGTGGTAAAGTGTTAGTCATTTAGCAGATATTTTCATCTGGTGACATGATGGATGCATGTGTGGCCCCTGAGGCCTGCAGCACCACAATCAGAGGATGTGGAAGCTGCCATCACATCTGAGATTTCAAAACCAAGAAAACATTTCATTTGATGTGGAGAAGCGACCTGTAAGTGGAGAGATAAGCCTTTTGAAAGCTGCTTTGATTATATGCTAACAACTGATTGCACTTTCCTTTTGAAAATGAAACCAATAGGGAATTTAAACTGTTGTTCTTCTCTCACCTGTAGGAAATGTTGAAGCCGGTCAGGTTGTAGGCAGCGTCACTGAAGAAGTGCAGCAGGGCGTAGCCGGACTGAGACACCACCTCAGGGACCGTCTCGTTCCCGTAACGCTCAGGCACGATCAGACCACTGCAATTACAACACAAACATGTCATTTAACAGATTAAGATTGTAATTTTCACATATACAGAACTTCTAGACTGATATGTATTTAAAAAGGTAAGGATTTTGTTGAAGGAGACACAACAGTCTTTGCTTGTTTGTGTGCATAAACGTATATTTAAGGGTTTAGTAATTGTTTGTAAATCTTTTCTCCCTTTACAGTTTTCTCTACCACCGTAAAACACACGTTTCTGCTCAGATAAAACATTCTGAGGGATAGAAGTGAATACTTAAACCAACGTTTTTGGATTCATTTGTAAAATAAAGAGAAATAAGGCAGTAGATAAGCCAGTCCACCAAGCGAGTTCCTATACAAATGGCAGGATAGTGTATCATTCACCTTAAAAGGGCCATCTTAATGCATGGCACACAGAAAAATGGAGGTGATGGGTTGCTTGCTTAAGTAATAATAATGTATGGAAGCAAATAAATGCCAGAGTTATAAACATTTTGATATCTTAACATGTAATGGATCCACACCTGGCTAATTCATGTTGAAAGTAAGTGCTTAAAAAACAACATTTCCAGGACATCTACTCCACACAGGGACTACTTGTACAAGAGACTGCAGTGAACCCACAGCAGACGTACCTGAAGGCGGCGAGGAGGGGGGCGTAGATTGAGTCTCCGTCGTACACGTACAGGTGGTCCCAGCTACATTCAGTGGCAAAGTGGTTAAATCGTAATCGGAGTATGGTGTTGGGTCTGGAAAACAACACACAGAGGAAGACCATGAGAACTTCTGAACGGGATAGGAATTTAATCGAAAAAAACAATATTTTGCATACAGATTTTGTTATTGTTTCTGAAAGAGAGAACTGAAGAGGTTGCAAAATGCACCCACTTTCACAAGAGGCGCAGAATAAATTGGATTTTTGGAACATAGAAAGGTGGATAATTACCAGCTGAAGTGGTAAAGGAAAAACATGTTCTACCTACGACTAAACTTCACTTGCATTAGCTTTATATTTGCTTTAAATCACAGTAAAAAACAAACTGTTATTTCAAATTCATACGATTTTATTAGATGATTTGTTACATTAACGGAGGTAACAGAAGGTAAATCCCAGCTCTGACAAGTGAAGAAGCCGATATAGTAGGTTACATTTAATAAGGCTCATTTTAAACTGTGCAATATTAATTTATTAACCCTCCGTGACCTTTACGGCCCGTCCACACAGCGGCTTTGGAAACAAATCACATGAATCTCCCGCCCCTGAGACACAAGCAGCGGTTTGATTGGCTAGAGCTTGTACTGGCATATGATTGGATTGGCTGACGCTTCCACCGAAAGCTTCAGAAGCTTCAAAAGTTGAACATTGCTCAACTTTTGAAGCCTGAGATGCCTGGAAAGCTCCGCTCTGCTTCCCACAATGCAGTTCGGCGAAAAGTGAGGTAAAGTGACGTCACCCCATTCAAAGCGAATGGGCAGAAGCGTTGGAAGATTTTTTTTAACGCTGCTGTGTGGACGTACCGTTACAGTACAGCAGAGAGACAAACAGGAAAAAGGAAGCTTGTTTAATCCGTTTTTGATTGAAGACATTCATGAGATTCTTGAAAATATCTCTGCTCTAAATGTGGTTAACATGGCAAAATTCAATCATTCAAAAGTGGAGGGAATAACACAAAGGCCTATTTAGCTTTCTCTACTTTGAGGGTACAAGATGTACAGGAAATGTTATGAACGGTCACATTTATCTCCTTACAATTTGATTTATTGAAGCGCAGAGGGGCTCATCCTCCCTCCCCTCGCGGAGGAATAGGAGCAGCCCCGAGGTTGGATTAAAAAAAAAAGAAAGCTTGTGACTGGTAAATAATGATTCAAAAACCAAAGAGCGACTGGAGATATCTGACAAAGAAACCCCTCTTTTAAATCACTCTGCTACCCATAAACACGGCTTTATTTTACTGATCATTTCACTGCCTTTGTGTAAAGTCACCTCAGGCCACAGCAGGCACTTAACGGCAGGGAAAGCATTGAGTGAATGTATGTACGAGGCGATACAATTCTCCTGTCATTCTGATGCATATGGTGGACGTGCCACTGCGTTAACCTCATGCTGAGAGGTATGCAGAAAGCATATTAAAGTGCCATTAGTATGTAATGAAAACGCTGAACGATGGCAATTACAGAAGCCATTCAGGAACAGGAAGGTCAGGGGTTCAAATCTCTGTAACATCCACACGTCCTGTGCAAAGGAAACATGAGTGTGACCTCCTGAGCCTCGAGAAAACTCACTCGTGTTTAATCGTCCTCAGGAATGAAAATGTTGGCGAAATGCCTAAAATGCAAATGCAATCAGAGAGCTTATGGTTCGGAAGAGCTGCTGGGACAAACAAAATGAGCACCATGGCTCTGAATCGATACTCTGTCGCTTGGTAATGCTGACTAAAACAATAGAGAAGGAGTATTGGATTCCTCACAGTTACTTTGCCATTAATTTCCATCCATCAGCTTCAGCATAGTGTATAGTCCTGATGCTGGAGGGTCTCTCAGTGAAGGACTGCAGTGCAGACTGTGTGTGTTACCATCATTATGAGCACCCTTGAATTATTGACTTGCAGCTTCTCTTTTCACAATCCATCCCTCAGCTGTCTCCAGGTTATCAATTCTGTAGCCTCTTTTTCATAATGGCAGAAACTCATTTAATGGTTGAAATCAATGAGAGAGTATCGTTTCGTGTGGAGTGTCTGCGGACTTTGCTCTGGCTTCTTAAGAGACTCGATGCGTAGGTTGTTTTTGTGCATTTTAAAACACTAATTATTTTTGGATAGCAGCTTATCATATGGAAAATGTTCTGCTTCAATCTAGACCAGGGGTGTCAAACTCAATTTCATCGCGGGCCACATTAGCATTATGGTTGCACTCAAAGGGCCGGTTGTAAGACAATATAAATATATAAAATAATGTATTATATTGCATTATTGCCTCTGCATTGGATTATTATCGGATAGGGTAATAACTTCATAATTAACTACATCTGAATGCAGAAGTCTAGGGCAAATAATTGTCTCTTCAGTGCGCATGTCACAAAATGAGATGCATTGTGGGATATGTTGTTTATTGGCAATGTGCTTCTGTAAAACGACATGTAACCGTATAATAAACATATTATATTCTTTGCAAGCTCTTGCGGGCCACATAAAATGAAGTCGCGGGCCGGATTTGGCCCCCGGGCCTTGAGTTTGTTTTTTAACTGCGGTCCAAAAAATATTCACTTGCTTGCCTGACACCTGTATTTAGGGGGTCACGCAGCAATCTACCACCATAAATTGAATTAATAAACAAGAATAAAATCTACTTTTTACCCCCTTATTTTAGGGATATGATTAAAAAAGACTCAAAACTCAATCAAAAGTTTCTGAACTAACAAAGTGGTTAAAAGAAAGAGTAGCATAATTGTTGTAAAGTAATGTGCTGTTATTCTGTGCTGTGTTGGATCTGCTTCCTACTTACTGTCCCTCGATCAGCCAGGTGCACTTGGTCTTGTACTTGTAGTTCCCTGGACCGTCACTCAGATGACCAGAGGGCCCCGTCAACCTGAGAGAAAGAAGATAGACAAGGTTACAAATTAATATGTAAAACGTTTTATTCCTAACAATCTGAAACCCAGGAAACGTTATTCTGTTAGAGGCAGTGTTTCCCACAGAATTTGATTATATTTCTGGGGGCACCGCACCGCACTGCACCGCACCCCCACCCCGGCAAGAAAAGCCAAAGGCCACTTAACCTATTCGGGTGGCCCGCCACGCATCCACCCCCCCCTTAAATAAGAAAATACATGCGAGTTCATGGCTACTGTTGACAACAATTTAGGCATTTAGCAGACGCGTTGTTCCAAAGCGACTTACAATGAGCAATTACAGGGACATTCTCCCTGGAGTAACTGAGGGCTAAGTGCCTTACTCAAGGGCACACTAGTAGTGGTGTTCCAGGCAGGATTTGAACTCGCAACCTTCCGATCATCAGCCCACCTCACTATCCATTCGACCTCCAAAATAAAATTATATATATATATATATATTATTATGTTTTTATGAGATCCATTTGTGGCGGACGATATTTAATTGTGGTGGCCCGCCACAAATAAATCAATGTATGGGAAACACTGAGAGGTGTAATGTGAAATAAGTACCTGATAGAACCCCTGAATCCCCAAAACCACAGCATCACTGTGCTTTATGCAAGAATGTTCAACATCTAATGATCAGTTTGACTGGGAAAATGTGCCCATATCACATTAAAAAGCAGTATTAAAAACAAGAAAGAAAGCCAAATGACTCCCTTTAGAATTCATCATGTTTTGTTGTTCAATTAAAGATGCATTTCTGTCATACTTATGTCATGAAAAAATAATAAACCACTGAAACAAATGAATTAGGGTGCAATAATGTATTAATAATAATACATACCGTCTGTCCAAAACTCAAAACAATTATTATGGTGTTCCCTAACAGATGTATTCTCAAAATGTACAACCATTGAGCAGTAAAATAATAACAACACTTTTCAAGTTTTTATTATGATGAAGCATAATAAAGAACAACCTGTACATGGAACATGTTTGATACTGAACTGAAATCCCACGGGTATTTGCCATTTTAAAAGCCTTACAGAGACGCTAGCATTGCTGTAGAGCAGCGGTTCCCAACCTTTTTCAACTCAGGGCCCACTTAAGAATCTAAAAAATGTTTGCGGCCCACATTCAACCATAAACAATACGTTGGCTAAATAAAGTTCTCAAGAGTACTTTGTATTTGAATTAGAAAAGGAGCTCGCCATCAGTAACAAACAGACATTTTTATTACATGGTTTAGTTAAATACTCGATTCTGATTGGTCAATTCAGAACATGTGACGCGTTGTAAATCCAGTAGAACAGACTGCTGTCAAGGACTGTAATGACCGTTGCTAAGGAGGATCAAGAAAGAGAAAGGAAAAGAGGTTCAAATAAAAAAAAAATCTTAGTAATGAAATGTTTCCACACAAATCATAATGTTTTGCAAATTATTTGGCGGCCCACCTGCAATGCCTTTGCGGACCACTAGGGGGCCACGGCCCACAGGTTGGGAACCACTGCTGTAGAGTAAACTCTCAGGCCTGTTGTGTGCTAAAATGATAAGAAACTATTTTTATTTTTGGATTTGTTATTTATCAAGTAAACCTTTTCCTTTTCTCAAATCGGAGCATGTCGACTCTATATCATGGAAACTTCAGTATATTTATGATGTTCTCAGACAAGACAATTTCCCCTTCTTATGACATGTATTACACACTACATTTATAACAAATTCAATCATGATTGAATGGATGACAACATCAGAATATTGAAAGTTAGTTGAGTAAACTTTGCAATACTCATATCCTTTTAAATATATAAATGATCTATCTTTAAAATACTGAATAAAAAAGTTACGCTAGAAGTTGTTGCTAAGAATACTTGTGTAGTAGCTTCATAGAAATTAGTACACACACACAGCGTTTTTACACAAGAGCCTGTCAGCAGAGAGGGAGGTAAACAATAACTTCTGCCACTTCAGATTTCATTTAACGCCTGGTGGTTGAGCAAACAGTAAATAAGCCAGCTTCAGGGTAAATGATTAAAGCTCACTGCAAATTATTATGTGAGGCCGACACCACGACGGACAGCCGCACACAGACTCAGAGTGGAGCACGGCGCCCGGCCGGTTATTGCCTGATCAATTTGTGCCTGATGACACAGCAGAGAGCAGCTGAATTACACAGGGGGCACTTACATGCAGCCAGAGATTGTATCATTACTCATGGAGGTCTCAGGGTGCAATGACTCTCTAAACACACCCAGTCACAGTCTGCTTCCAAAACAGTCTCTCAGCACCACTTGGTGCTAAAGTCTGCAGAAAGATCTCTGCATTACGATGTCAATAATAGGGAAGGGCTTTTTAGGTCCATATTCAAGGACTGTCATTTGTACGTTCAATTCTAACACAGGGAAAGGGTTTGAAGTGAACAATCTAAATGGTTAATGGTTAGTTAGTGTGCTTTCTGTCCCGAAAGTGAAAACCAAACGTGGAGAAGCAGTGTTTAGTTATTATGCTCGGTTTAAGTGGAACAAACTACTCAAAAAATTGCAGGTATGCTACAACTCTCACTTATCTTTTTCTTCATTTAAGGATGAAGACTTTCCTATTTGCCACCACCTTCTATTAAATCAAAAAACTTTTCATATCTTACACTGCAACTTTTTTTTCTTGTGTTTTAAACCTGTCTTATTCTATTTAAGCTTATTTTAATTTGTCATCTTTTGGCTTTAATGGACTCATTAAAAATGTCAAATGAACTTAAATGTCATAACAAATGCGTTTATGTTGCACTTTTTTTTTTAATGCGGTAAGGTTTTCTGTAAGGTACTTTGAATTGCCTTGTGTTGAAATTTGCTGTATAAATAAACTTGCCTGGCCAGTTTGGGATTGTAGTCTTTGCAGACCATCGATGCACAAACAACTACATACTATAACAAACCACAGGAGAGGGATAACCCCAAAAAAGTAATAGTAATCATCTAACTAGTTGTTCTATGATACAAATGTTAAACGTTACATAACTTGTACTGCACAATCATTTTTGTTTACTTTGTGGGACTACTCCATAACATCACTTTTATGACACATGTCATCATTCTACCTGGAACGTAATCTATTGAACAAATATTGACGTCGTCCAAATTGAGTGCTCATGCCCATCCCCACTAAGTAACGATCTACAGAAACACTTCCTATTTTAAGCATGCCACTATTCAGCCCATATTAAAGAAAACTAACTTAGATCTGGCCCTGCCCGTGAACTACAGGCCTATATCAAAACTACCCTTTCTGTCTAAAGTTCTAGAGAAGGTTGTGTCCAACCAACTCACTGCTGCATTGGAGAGGCACAATATTTATGATAAGTTCCAGTCGGGGTTTCGGTAAAAGCACTCAACTGAAACGGCTCTCCTGAGGGTTTCTAACGACATCGTGATGGCTTCTGATGTGGGTGATTGCTTTGTGTTAGTACTTCTTGACCTAAGTTCTGCGTTTGACACTGTAGACCACCATATCCTGATCAAGAGGTTACGTGACTGGTTTGCATCATATCTTGCTGACAGAAGTTTCACCGTCTCGATTGGAGACTTTGTGTCAGACTCCTCTCCACTGTCCTGTGGTGTCCCGCAGGGCTCAGTCTTGGGGCCTCTGTTATTCTCTATATTTGCTACCCTTAGGACAGCTCATAAACAGATTTAACATTACATATCACTTATACGCGGACGATATCCAGCTCCACATTTCATTCAAACCTAGTGAGGCTTTTAGGATATCTAGGCTCTTAGAATGTCTTAGTGCTATTAAGGACTGGACGGCAGATAACTTCTTACAACTCAATGCTGATAAGACGGAGGTTCTGGTTGTTGCACCAGAAAAGGTTGCGCCCATGATTTTGAAAAGTATTGGACCATATTCCTCTGCTGCCAACTCCAAACTACGTAACTTAGGGGTAATATTTGACCAATCCGCGTTGTTTGATACCCATGTTAAGCAACTGACGAGATCTTGTTTCTTCCACCTACGAAACATTAGTAAACTGAGATCTGTAGTTTCAACACCCGACCTAGAAATGATTATACATGTGTTTATTTAATCTCGCATTGACTACTGCAACGCATTGTTCTCCTCTCTCAGCATGTCTGTTCTTGGTCGTCTGCAGGCAGTCCAGAATGCAGCTGCAAGACTTCTCACCCGGTCAAATAAACGGTCCCACATTACCCCAATACTGAGATCTCTTCACTGGCTCCCTGTAGCTTATAGGATACAGTTCAAAATCCTCACTCTCACATACAGAGCATTAGGGATGGGTATCGTTAAGGTTTTAACGGTACTACTACTTTTATCGATACCGCTTATCGGTCCGGTCTTTTAACGGTACTCTTATCGGTTCTTTTGGAGAGAAAAATGAGGTAAACTAACTATATGTTGTATGTCAGGGACTACGGATGGAAATTAGCTCAAAGCTAAAATCCGGCATATTTACACTTGAAGCATTATTTGTCTAAAGTGTTCATTAATGTGCATTGTCCCTATTCAAATAAACAATTAAATGAAAATTAACAAATTGTGAACAAAACTAACATTGCTTTTTATTTAAATGAAATACATAATATTTCACATCAACAGAAACAACAACGTTTTAACAAATCATATTAAATAATCTGATGACAGAACTGTGAACAGAATGGCTGAAACTTTAACAAACTAAATAACTCAGTTCCCTCTAATCATTAACCCATGTTTGAATCATTGAGTTAGCTCCGTGTGTTGCTGCTAGCATACATAATATACCTGACGTGGAAACGTTACTCGTGGATGGGGCTACAGAGCTACTAGAGAGAGACAGTCGAACCCGGTGCATTTCTCCGTCTGAATGTGGTGCACTTTTGCAAGATGTTTAGACAAATTGCTCGTGTTACCGCCCTGACATGCTAAACTCTTATTGCACTTTAGGCAACGAGCGAGACGGGTAAAGTTTAAC